AATACCTTATTTATTTCAGCTGTGCCTGTGCAAAATATGGGAGGGCACTAAAGCTCATAAGGAGTTTAATTTTTAGTGTACCAAATAATTCATTTAAAATCTTAAATGAGTTCATGCTGAGAAGAAAACCCTTAGAATTCAGAGCATTGGAAGGAAAGCTCAGAATCAAACCTAATGATTATTTGACTAACCAGCCCTTCATTAGTTTATTTCTCTAATGAATTATTGAGGCACTGTATACACATCTCAGAATACATTTTTAAAAGCACAACACTGGTCTTAGATTGCAAAAATATAATAGCACTCATGATATAATAATAATAATAGCAATAAGCACACAAAATGCTGCATAAACACTAATTAAAGCTCAGTGTCCCCAAGCAGCAAGCACAGAAGGCAGGATGTTCAGCACATTTGAGGTAAAGAGTACAATTAACACCAAATAAAACAACATTATTCCAAATACAGCTCATGGTACTTGTGGCTGCCCTGCTCTGTTACAAGGGAGAGACAGAGAAAGTGAAATCTGCCCAAGTTCCCAATAAATGCATTGATCCCAAATAGCTGTGAGCAGGTCTGGGTTAGGGGAGGGAACAGAGTTATTTAAATCATCAACACTAACACCTGAGGGGAGTTACCCAAACCCTCTGGAAGCTGCCCCACAGGGCTGTGATGGTCACTTTGGCTCCGGGGGGATTGCTGGGAGATCCTGGTGTGGCTGAAGCCCAGGTCCCTCGAGGGGAGCAGGGGGAGCTGAGAGCCCTCCCTGGGCTGGCTGGGTGCTCTGTGCAAATGATTTTGCTCCTGTCAGTCGCATTCCTCACCGTGCCGAGTTCACCTTGACTCCTCCACAGGCTGGTGCCAGAAGAGATAAAGAAGATGAGTGGATTTGGAGAGAATGTTTAAAAAAAAACAACAAAAAAACCGAACAAATCACCCCGGAAGCTGAGGGTTAAAGGCTCAAAGATGAAGCACAGCATTCAGATGTAAAAGCCCTGCTGCAGCCATAGTCCAGGTCAATAATAAAAGCTTCAGAGTGATGGAAAACCTGCCCTGTCAGTAATTTCTATTCCAAGAGATGTTTGTGATGATGCAGTTTTCAGCTCGAAGTTATAATATTATTTTTCACACCATGCACTTGTCCAGCTTTGTCTCTTGCTTAATTACAGCTTTTTCTTTTCTTTTTTCACGATGTGACGAAATTTCAGTTGGGCAAAATGGCCCCACTTGCTTTTGTAGTGTCCATCCTATGGATCTTTCCAGAAATCAAAATGATTTTGCAACAATTGTCAGCAGTGCCTTGTTCTGTGACAGTCAGCTCAGAAGTACTTCATGATGAGCTTCAATAGGCACAAAAGTAAAAAGAAAAACGTGGTGGGTGATTTCTGCCTTTCCTTGGTACCCACACAGGGAGTGGAGTCCCTTGGGTAACAGGGAGCTGCTGCTCCTGGGCACGGAGCAGGCTCCGGGTGAGCCCAGGGAAAGCTCTTCTGTTTGTCCCCTTCACCCACCAGAAAGGGCAGTTCACTCTCCTGGCCTGGCTAATCCTTCCTTTGCTGGCAATTCCAAAGCCAAGGCTATCAGTGTGCCTGTTCCTGTGGTTTTGGGAGCTTTTTTGATCGTATATTCTTCTTCTGGAGATCGTAGCTGCTGAAATTTTATTGTCTGAATCCTGTAGCTTCTGTTCAATCTCATTTGGAAAAAAAAAAAAAAAAAAGAAAAAATTCCAGCCCTCAGGGCTGTAGAGGAAAGCTTAGGAAAATGAACCCTAAATGCCCTGGCATTCAGACCAATAAAGACAGCCTGGCATCAGTTGTCATGTAAATAACAAGCTTGTAAAATAAACACGGCACATTCCAGCGGTTGTTTGTTAAATCTGCTTCTCCTGCAGTCTGCACTGGGACCCGGTGCCAGCCTTTCCTGGCCAGCAGAGCACCATCCTCCTCCTCTTCCTCCTCAGAACTGCCAGCTTGGGAACAACTTTTCCATGTTGGGAGCAGCAGCAGGGGCTCTGAAGATGAGCCAGATGCTTCTCAGGGCTTTTCCTGGAGAGCAGTTCCTGCCCTCTGCATGGCCCCTGGCTCCACCTGGACAGGTAAGGGGATGCTTGGGCACGTGAGGCTGGATTTCCCATTTACCTTCACACATTAAGGAAGGGAAATCCAACTCCTTGCTGGTCACAATGGCTTTGTCAGTGATGTCTTGAACTTCATTGTACCATATAATACAGAAGATGTTAATCTAAATGTAATCCAGCTGCTGTGGGTCACTATTCCTGAAGTCTGTGTTGAGCTTGCCAGGAGTTAAGTGTGGTAAACTCTTATTTCCTGCTCAGAGCTGGTTTATTTTTGTAACACGGGAGTTTTCAGTAAGTTTGTACTGGAAAAGTGCTTGGCTAAGGCTTTTACTGGTGAAAACAGAACAAAAATGCTTTGCTCAGATTTTTACTGGCATCAGTAGATGAAATGCTTTCCTCAGTTTTATGCTGCAAGCAAATATATACTGATAACTAAATTAACTCCTTGATTAATTAAAACACAACATACATTCTAGCAGGGAAACAGAGCATTCATCCCTAGAAATGTTTACGTGAGAAGATGATGGTTTGATCTGTGATAGCCAGAGTGTGCAGACACATCCTGTGAGGCTGGGCAGAGCTGAGGCAGGAGGCTCAGCCTGGGCAGGGATCTTGTTTGGATACGTGATGCCGTATTTAGAACATACATAAAATAACTCAAAGAGAAAGAAGGAGTGTCCTTTGGCAGCTGCAGAGTAGATTTGTCACACTTGCACCACTGTTTTGTGGTCTGACTGCTGTTTGGAGGAGGATCAGGGACTAAGTGTCCCATCCATCTCCACTGGCCTCAGGTTTTTGTGTATTTGCTGCCCGGAGACCCTCCCTGGCAGCTGTTGGAGCTGTGTGCTCCTCATGCCCTCCCTCGGCTGCCAGCAGCACTCCTCCAAGCTGCAGTTGGCTCCAAACCTTTTGTCCTTTTCTCCTAAACCATCTTTGTGTCCTTGGGTTTCAGCACGAGGGCTGGGTCCTGCTGGCCATCCTCCCCAGAGTGCTGCGACCTGCTGGCCATCCTCCCCAGAGGGCTGGGACCTGCTGGCCATCCTCCCCAGAGTGCTGGGACCTGCTGGCCATCCTCCCCAGAGGGCTGGGTCCCCAGGGCTGTCCTGGCGAGGAGGGGACTCCAGGCTGCAGCTGGGAGCAGCAGGAGGAGGAGGAGGAGGAGGAAGGGCAGAGGGCTGGTGCTGTCCGTGTGCCACCACCGGTGCCGGCAGTGCCAAGTGCCAGCGTTTGTCCAGCACGCTGCCACCCCAGCCCTGTCACAGGCAGGGACACAGGGACACCCTGTGAATCCAGCACTCCCCGGGGCAGGGTGGGAGCAGCTGGCAGGGGGGCAGCAGTTTGCTGCACAAACTCCACAGCAGAACCCACCGTGAAGTGGAATTACTGCTGGTTCCAAGAGTGAAAAGCGTCCCTGTTATCACCCTGCTCACTGCAGCAGGTGGGTGCAAATCTCCTCACATCCCTACCAGCAGAAACCCTCCTGCAAGGAAGCCTCGAGAGAACAGAAATGGTCCAGAATACTGAAATTGAACACGACCTCTTCCTTCTAAAACTGATTCCAAGTTTAGTCTCACCAGATTGCAGAAATCCAGATTGTGCCTTAATTTATTAAAACATCCTGCCATTTAAAATTGCTCAGAATTCCCAGTGCCAGGATGCTCTGCAAGAATTCTCCTTACCATCAAACTTTGGGGATCCAGAGGAAAGAAAGAAAGAAGTTTAGATTTGAACAAGTGAAGCCGCTTTTGAGTTCTGATGCAAAGCCTTCCTTTTTTTCTCTGCCTGACAAAATTCCCCAATAGATTTTTAGAGTTTCATAAGAAAACAAAACAATTCAACACTGCAAAACCTCACATTTCCAGTGACACTCCAAATTCCCTAATTTCACCTCCAACTTCCAAGCCCGCCGGTGCCAGCTGCGATCAGGGGGGGACCCCAAGAGCCGAAGTCGGGCTGGAAAGCCGCGGTTTAAGCGGGGAAAGAAGGCTTGGAGCAGGAATTGTGGCAGGACAGGGGCGAGGAGCAGCGGCTCCGGGGATGCTCGGGCTGGGAGAGCACGAAGCCGTTCTGCGAGTGCCATCCAGGGGACGAGAGCTGCACTTCAGCCGCTGCGGGGGTGGAGAGGAGGAGGAGGAGGAAGCGACCGAAGCCTGGTGATTAAAAGTTTGCGAGCCGCCGGTGCGCAGGGATGGGAGTGGGAATAACGAGCTGAGGAGTGCCGGGAGTTCGGGAAGGGAGCAGAACCTCCGCAGCAGGTCTAAAAATGCTAATTACAGACCCACAGAATGGCTTCGGGGGGGAAAAGAGCTCCAAAATCATCGAGTCCAGCCTGTGACCCATCAGCGCCTTGTTGCTCAGAGCAGAGCGATGAGTGCCAGGCGTTGCTTGGTCTTTCACAAGGACAAAAAATCATCACAGCAGGAGAATAAAGACAGTGCAGAAAGTGGGGTTCAGCAGTGTAGGGGCTCAGCCCAGACTGGGACAGTTGATCTCCCACATAATTTTCCAACAAAAAACAACTCCAACAGGAACCCAGGGGGAGATGGATTTGTAAAGGACTCTCCACACCTGACAGAAAGCTCACACAGTCTGTACATCTGTGTGCAAGCTGAGATGAGCTGTGCTGCTTTGGGAAGGCCATGGAACAGAGGTGACATTGTTGAGAGAGGCTGAACTAGAAACAACTTTCAACAAGTTTCAACTCCTCCAGAACGGTGGCTCCAAACAGCCCCGGGCAGCCCCTTCCGAGGGCGGTGTGATTTAGGGGGACACCGTTTGTGTGACCCTCTGCAGCCCCAGTGACATCTGAAAAAACTGATTTTAACCGCTTTAAGGGGAAACTTTTCTGCTGTGGAGCTGCCCTCGGGGGCGCTGACCCCCACGCTCGGGGCTGAGGGATGGGAGCGGGGGTGGCGGGGCTCACCTTGATGATGAGCGGGTTCCGCAGCATGCTGAGCCGGACCAGCCCCAGCCGCTCGTTCTCCGTGCCCGGGCCCGCCTCGGCCAAGCTCATGGGCGGCCGCCGGGGCCCGGCTCTGCCGCCCGCCATGCTGGGCCGGGCCCGGTCCGGGAACCGGGGAGTCTCGGAGGTGCCGGTGCCGCTCCTGGGGGTCTCTGCACAGTCCTGCTCTGGGGGCTCTCTCGGAGGTGCCGGTGCCGGGGCTATCTCGGTGGTCGCGGTGCGGATCCCAACCCCGGGGCTCTCTGCACGGCCCCGGTGCCGTTCCTATCCCGGGGCTCTCTACACGGCCCCGGGTGCCGTTCCCGTTCCCGGGGCTCTCTGCACGGCCCCGGGTGTGGATCCCGTTCCCGGGGCTCTCTGCACGGCCCCGGTGCCGTTCCTATCCCGGGGCTCTCTGCACGGCCCGGGTGCCGTTCCTACCCCGGGGCTCTCTGCACGGCCCCGGGTGTGGGTCCCGTTCCCGGGGCTCTCTGCACGGCCCCGGTGCCGTTCCTATCCCGGGGCTCTCCCTCAGAACTGGCGTCCGTCTCCAGGCAACAGGCGGTGCGCCGCTCTGATGGGTCCGGCTGGGGCCGCTTCCGCCGGGAGGAACGGATGAGCGGGGCGCGGGTTGCGGGGGCCGGCGGCGCGGGCGCACACCGCGTGGAGGTAGCGGCGGGCCCGGCGGGGCCGGGGGCGCGGGGCGGCGGGGCCGGGGCGGGCTGTGGGCTTCTCACACCCATCCCGGGCTGCCCAGAGCGCCGTGGGAGCGCCGGGAGTCTCCCTCGGTAGCCCGGGAGCGGCGGGGCGCGGCCCGGCCGCGCTCAGCCGGGGTGTATCGGTGCCTGGGCCTAGGGCGGGCTGTGCTCGGAGCTCCGCGGGGCTTTGGGCCGCTCGTTCCCCTCGCTGCCGGGGAGGGCATGCCCGGCACCGGCCGCCGGGGCGAGCTGCCCTGGGCATGCGAGATTCAAGGGCGGGGGTGCTGCGCGGTGAGTGTTTATACGCGCTGGGTGTAGAAAACGTGCTCAGAATGCTTCCTGCTCCTGTGTGTGACTGAGATCTGCCGGCAGGGCCGAGCTCGGCCCCTCAGGAGCTTCTGATCAGGGAGTTTTGGGTGTAGTGCTGGTGAGTCTCGTATTTCTTTGTGGCTTTTGGCGTGGCGCTGTTTCAGTGCTGAAAGCTGAGTTGAACATACCAGTCAGACGCTGCTTAGCTGTTCAAAATCAAATAGTTATTAAATTAATAGTTAATTATTAGTAGTTATTGAATTTATTAAAGCGTTTCTTGTTGTAGGAAAGCACTTTGGAGGCTGGGGGCAGCTGTGATGCACATCTGTTTGGCAAAGGAGGCAGCAGCTTTTCCTAGGCACTTCACAAAACTAACTGGATTGAAAAGTAAGAGTTTAAGATAGAGTTTGGTTTTTAATTGTTAAGGTTTTGGGTGGGTTTTGTGCTTTTTGTTGGGGGATGTTTTATTGTAAACAGAACCTGTATAAATGACAACACTTCAATAAAACTCCTCTCTTTTACTTAAAGAGAAGAAAAATGAAAGGCAAAGCCCATTCAGGTGATTTTCAAGTCCAGGATGTTGTCAAGAAGAAGAAAAAGAAGAAGAGGAAACCAAATGAATCCAACAACAACCACGAAAATGCTGAAACTGTGGAAGATGCAGAGCCTGGCCACACTTCCCCAGTGCTCTTTGAAGATCCAGCAGCACAGGGCAGGGAAAAGAAGAAAAAACTGAAAAGAAAGGCTGAGAAGCAGCAGACTCTGCTGGATAATTACTTTGTGAAGGTGGAACGGGGGGTCAGCAATGGGACTGCAGCAGCTGCTTCCCCGAGGAAGAAGAAGAGGAGGAAGGGTGAGGACAGCAGCCACGAGCTCAGCTGTGTCCCTGTGAGCCAGGAGGGTGCTGCTGCCTGTGGTTACTCCAAAACACACAAGAAGAAAAGGAAAGAGAAGCAGCAGCCTGAAGAGGATGAGGTGGGTGAGCTGCCTCCCCCTGAGGAACACAAGGGCCACAAAGAGAAAGCCAAAAAGAAGAGGAAGAAGAGGAGGGAGGGCACAGCTGAGCCACTGCTGCCACCCTCAGAGCAGGACAGGGGCTGGATTTCACCTGCAGCTGAGGATGGAGCCTGTGATGCTGCCTCTGGCACCTCTGAGGTGTCCTTGGAGCTCCCTGCTGGCTTTTCCACACCCAGTAAAGCAGCTGGGAGAGCTGCAAAGGCCCCCAAGAGCAGCGCTTACGTCGTGGAAGAAAGCTCCTCAGACTCTGATGTGATGTAAGTTGGGGTTCTGTTGTGGGGTTTTTTCCTTCCTCTGCTTCCCAAATACATTTCTGTTGTGTTATTTGTCTTTTTTTCATTCTGGTTTGAGTGTGTTTCAAAGGAAAATTTGGAACTTACACAGCATTTGTGCTGTTAGAGACCAGCTCTGAAACCTCAGTTTGCTTGTGGAGATCCAACAGCAATTTTTAAGAACAGTGTAGGCTCTTCTTCAGTGTAGGCTCTTTTCTCCTCTTTAAAACTGTAGGTGTAGAAATAACTTACCTGCAAACAATTCACATTAAAAAAAATGGGGGGAAAAGTATTTCATTTGTTCAAGTTGATATTTATAGTGAACATGTGCATTTGAACCAAGCAGCTGGTAAGGTCAGCTAAACAATTGAATGTTCTGTGCAGATAAATGCTCGTGTAAGGAGTTCTTGATGCCTTTGCAGTGTCTAGAAAACAGAACAGGAGCACTAGTAAGAGACAGATGGAAAAAATCTGGGCCAGTGCTAGCAAGAGGCATTAATTCTTCAGTGTGCCCATGTGTGAGAGTTTTGTGGAGTTTCAGAACTTCAGAAAGCTCCTTGATTATTGTAAGTATAGAAAGTTGGAAATAAATTACAATTATTGTGTTAAAAGGTTAGAAATGCAAGGCAGTGGATGTGTGAAATATTTTTTGTCCTGTAATTAACAAATATGTTAATTCCTTTAATAGTAGAGATGTTAACAACATCCATCTCTGGTCTGGAGTTCTAGTGATGTATTTGATTTTATTTTATGCCTTTTTTTTTATATTAGGACACCAAAAGCCTTGGGATCACGTGAAGAGCAGCAGAACAATTCCTTTGCTGAATTGGCAGCCTCTGATGAGGTCAGCGTGGATGGTGACTTCAATTCTTCTGCCATGACTTCAGTTGTGGATTTGGATACTGCAAGACAACAACTGGAAGAGTTTATTCCTCATGTGAAGAATATATCAGACAGTTCAATCAAGAAAATGGCTGGGAGAGACCTCACGAGGTTTAAGGAGTTTAAAAAGCAGGGTGAGCTCTCTGAAATCCTGTAGCAGTGAGGAGGGACTGTGGAGCTGTGCTGATGTTTGGACAGAGGGACAAGTCTCTTGTGTCTGTTGCACCCACGGTCTGGTTCACTTCATTCCACTGACAGATTTTCTGTTTCTTTTGTAGGATCTGCTTCCACACTGGCAGATTTCAGTCCAAACTTGTGTGTTAATTGCTGATTCCCAGCTGGTTTTGTCTCTTTCAGTTGTCTCTTTTCCCCTCTGAATTTGTTGATACCTGAAATGTGCAAGAGATGGTACTTGAGGTTTGATTTTTTTTTTTTTTAACCTTTCTGTATTTTAGGTATGGCTGTCAAGTTTGGCAGATTTACCCAGAAAGAAAATAAACAAATCCGGAAAAACGTTGAAGAGTTCTTAGCACTTACTGGAATAGACTGTGCTGAAAAACTTTTGTTTACCTCGAGGTATCCAGAAGATAAACACACCATCCAGCGCCTGAAAACAGAACATCATTTTTGTGAAAAAATCTGTGAGTATTTAACTTCATCCTCAGCTGAATGTTGCATTCTGCATCCTGGTGATATCCTGGCATATCCTGTAAAATAATAAATAATAATACTGTAAAGTAGTTTTTATTGAAAATCACTGATATTGTTAGATTTGGTAAGAAGGTGCTGACATGGTGTAGTTGATAATCTGCACAGCCCACTGTTCTTATTATCTGGTCTCAAATAGGAAGAGTTTAGAGATTAAATATGGTAAAGACTTCCAGACTTGCATTTGGGCTTTATGGCTTTAAGTGTATTATTTGCTAAACTGTAATTAAGGTTACTGATGGCAGCTGTGAGTGATTAAGTCCTGTGTGAAATTGTCACCAATAAATAGGTGGCAGGTGCAGGACTCAGCGGGGTGGAAGGGACTGAGCCATGCCAGTCTTCCAAGACGTGGGGATCTCCTCAGTCACCAGGAGCTTTATTCTGTGTGTGGTGACATCATCTCAGGCAAGGCAGAGTAAAGGGCAGCCTGTCATGGATCAGGATGCTGGCATCAAACTACAGATTTGTTCTCTGTGGTTATTTCAGCCACACAATCTTTCCTCTGCATCAGCACAATTCCCTGATGTTGACTTTGATTCCAGTGTGGGAGTTTGCTCCTGGGCTGGGAGGATTTGGCAGAAAGTCTCATCAGTGTCCTGTGCCTTGCAGTCCCCCCTGCTGCCCAGGGTGGCTGTGTGTTCCCAGGGGTTGGTCTCTGGATCTTCCCTGCAGCAGAGATCTTCACTTGGTTTTTGCTGCTGCCCCCAGTGCCTGCTTTTCCCAGCTGGAACAGTCTGGGAGCACCCAGGGTCTCCTCAGCTCCTGCCTGGTGGCTGTCTCATGTCTCTCTTTAATGGGAGTGTTCAGCATGCCAATTAAATTTTAATCACACCTGGATCAAATGCACAGTCCATGCAGTTTGTAGCTGGTGAGTGGAAAGAATCTGTTGTTGGCACCATGGCCATGACAATGTGTGGTGTTGGGTTTTGGGGTTTGTTTCATTGTGGCCTCACCACTGTTAGAAATGATTGTTCAAAATGATCTTTACCTTCCAGCTGAGGGCATACCCCGGCCCTGGAGGCTGATATATTATCGAGCAAGGAAGATGTTTGACCCAAATAATTATAAAGGAAGGTAAGGGAATACTTTACAAGTGTTTCTGAATGCTAACATCAGTCTGTGTTGATTATTTGTAAATGAAAAATGGATTCAGATGAGGCTCATCTCTCCCATTTGTGCCAGTTACTGTGACTTAATTGATAGCTCATTTCCCCTTATTGATTCCTCTGTTCTAAAATGTGACTTGAAGTGATAGTGATGATCAACACTGATCACCTGCACATGTTACAGCTCTTTAAGAGGTTGAAATGGTTTCAATTTACAGCTGAAGCTGTGCCCATTTCCTCAACCAGGTATACTGCAGAAGAAAAAGAGAAATTAAAGAAGTACCAAGCTCTGCATGGCAATGATTGGAAGAAGATTTCTGAGTTGATGTCTCGTTCTAACCTCTCAGTTGCTATGAAATTCTCTGAAATCAAGTCAGGTATGTAATTTTAAGAAAAACAATTCATTTTGTGTAATGTTATTTGAACTGTACAATATAGGTGCCCTAAACATAAGGAAAAAGTCCTTCAAGTATGAGGTCTTTAATTAATTGATTTGTAGTGATGGTTCTCTTCTTCACACCACTGATTGCATTTTCATGTGGAAAGGATAAGAAAGATCTCTGAAAGAAAATGGAGAAAAAGTGGAACAAATATAACTCTATTAACAGAACTGACATCTAAAAAAGATGATTTCATGGGAAGGGCAGAAGGAATTTGGTAGCCAGGTTTAAAAAGATAACAATTGGAGATCAGACTGTTCTTCAGTGTTTAGGCTGAACTCTCAAGCTTAGTATGCAGGGGGGTTTCTAGGACATGTGTTAAGGAGTTGGTCCCATAAATAAAAATCATGCAAAGGGAAACATTTGCTCTTTTGCCTTTTTCCCCCTAATCATTCATGATAAATTGTGCCTTAACCTGGTGGGTTTTCAATTCTAGCTATTAACTATGGTCCTTGGACAGAGGAAGAGACCCGGAAGTTAATGAGTGCGGTGAAAGATGTGATGTGGAGAAAGCTGAGAACAGAAAACCCAAGTTCTCTTTCCTCCCTGGAAGAGTCAAGCACAGATCTCTGGATTGACCGTGAGCAGCTGCACCAGCCCCTGCCCTGGACTGAGATTGAAACCAAAGTGGGAAGTCGATACTGGAGACAGTGCAAACAGAAATGGTGAGGGCTTGGACTAAACTGGCATATAAAATGTGTTCTGGGGTGTATTTATTCTGCAAAACGTGTGGTTTGCACCATGGTGATCCTTTGGTAGGACAGGTAAGAGATTGTAGAGCACAGAAGAGGAATTGCAGGTGAGTCTGAGACAAATAACTCCTTGCTAGCTGCAGCAAGTTCTCTGACAGCAATCTGTTTGCTCTGATATCTGCCTGGTGTGCTGAGGCCTGAGCAGCAGAGTTGACTTACTGCTGAACCCTGGGCATTGTGACTAACACCAGCAGTATTATTTAGCTGAAAATAGATGATTGAGACTCTTATGCCAGCTGTTTAACACCAAAGCAGCTGCTTCAGAAACTTTCACATAACCTTGTGTAGTTATCTGCAAGAAATGTATCATTTTGAGAAACTTTCCCAACTGACAGGAATAGCAGCCTCTTTGTAGGGTATTTTAGGGGAAAACCTCCCAGCCAAGGCCTTGGCCCCTGCTGGTTGGGAAGTGTGCCATCAGATCCAGGTGTTCCTGAGCTAAAAATATAATCAAGTCACTTTGTCTTGCTGATTTGTGGCCTATAAAAGCTGGACCCACTTTTGGGGTGAATTTGGAGACCTAACCTGGGGGTGGACACACTGTGTAGGATGTCCCAGTTGCTGGGAAGGGTTCTCCAGGTCCTGCTGTGAAATGGGACTCCCTAGTGACACGGTCTGGATGATGGTAAAATATTGAGGCAATTGGTGATGGATCTTTCTCAATCACCATCCTTTCATATAATAATGATTAGTGCATACTCTTGCACATTTTTGCTTTTGCTAAAGTCAAAACTGTGTAGTTTTATTGAATGTATCATTTTACTTTTTTGTTGTCTTAATATTCATAGTAAAACAAGACCATTCTTCCCATTGATAACTGTGTCCCTTCAATTCCCCCTGTCACTTGGCAGAACACTGCCTCTCTGTGACAGCAGCAGCATCTTAATGCTTGGAATTTCTTGAATTGATTGATAGCAACCTGGTTTTGTGTGTTTTCAAAGGAATTCAATTTTAACAAACAAATTGACCAGAGTGCCGAGGCTGCACAGAGGGACCAATGGATTACGGACCAAGATCACTCTTATTAAAAGGCAAGTCCTGAGCACTGGGATGTTTTTGTATCTCCCACTTCAGAGCTGTGCTTATAAAAGTTGGCAGGGTGAGAACAGCCTGCTTTGCAGCTTGATACATGGTTTGTAATCATTCTTTCTGTGGACAGAATGTCCTGGAATTTCTGACTGGGGGAGCTGGGAGCACTGAATGATGTCCTGAGTTCTGCTTGCAAACTGCTTCTGTCTCACTTTCACAGGTTGTATGAAACAAAAGCAGAGGATGCCAGTGAAGTAAACTGGGATGAACTCAGTAATGCTATGGGGTAAACCTCCTTTCCTTCTTTTTATGGATTCAAAGGGTAATGAAAGCGGAGGAATCAAAGTTCTGATACTTTTACAACTGTAGGAATTGTTCAGTTTGGAAACATTACAGTTGCATATCCTGCCATAGCACTGAGCAGGAAGCCAAGATCTGAAACCCTTAACATTCCAAATACTGGAGTGTTGTGTAGCTGTGCTTCCAAATGTTCATCAACTAATGGGAAAAATTATGATTTGATATTACAGGTTGATTTTTATTTGTATTCCATCCTTTCTACCTAAATCTAAGCTGGGGTTTGACTTGCATCACTCTCAGGAATGGGTAACTCAGTAACAATTAAGCTTTATGATAGTTCCTTGCACCACTAATTAATTTTTTGAACTCTTCTCTTTGCAGAGATGTTCCTAGAGTCTATGTTCAATCCAAGTTTTATAGGCTAAAAGTGTCCTTTGTCCCTTTATGGAAAAGAAGGACTTTTTCTGGTCAGTATGCCAGCTCTTTGTATGTATGTGCTCCTCAAGGCTTTGGTTTGAATCTCAGAGGATACTTACTCTGGTTCAGTTTTTTCCAAATTGGCTAAAATCTTTGTCTTTATACTTATTTTACTAAATGCTTTTTTTATAACTTTCAATGTTCTCTTCATGCAATTGCTTATGAACCTGTTCTTTTTAATACCTTGGCTTGAAAAGTTTTAACACTGTGCATTTTAATTTCTCTTTGCATGTCTGTGTTATGCCTGATCTCCCTGCATCCCCTGTGATCAGAACAGTACAGATACTTTGTGAATTTAACAATGACAACACAATTTCTGTGAGATGCTGTTCCTCTACAGATCCAATTAAACCCTTTTTATTTTTTTTCTCATAGAAATCATTGATTATCTGTATGAAAATGCACTCCCAGAACTTGAAGAAAAGTTAAGGGAAGAAGAGGGGAAACACAGTACTTCGGTCACTTCAACAGCCAGGCAGCAGCAGAAGGCTTTCAGATTCAGTGACATTTTTGACTCCAATGATGAGATACTCAATGACATTTTTGACTCCAGTGACGAGAGTGATTAATGGATTGTCCTAAAAGCAATGCCTAATTTGCATATTTAACTGCAAATGGGTCTGGTTGAAAGTGGGTGCAGCTCAGCAGCTGCAGGTACCCAGGCTGCTGACAGGGGGAGAGTCAGGAGAGCACCTCTGATTGCCTCGTTTCATCCTGAGGATTGAGTTAAACAGAGCTTCTGTGCCACATTTTATTTAATTCAGCTGTGCTTTTACAAGTTTTCATGTAAGCATAGAAGTTGCTTTCTAAATGTCTTAAACTCCTTTTTTTTGTGGAGTTCAGAGCTGCTGTTTTCCCTTTATGAATGAACTTGGTTTTCAGAATATTATTTTTTTTAAATTCATGGCACTGGAAAAAGGTTTTCAGTTTGCTTTTAAAACTGTAATAATCAAGTCTTAAGACGTGCTGTTTTCATCACCACAACTAACTTTTGAGGGTTTTTTTTAACAGGTATCTTAAAAGCAACTGATTTTATTTTTGATGCAGCCTTATACTTTTCTCACTCCTTATAAAAAAAGGCTTTTGTCTGTTACTGTTCATCATTGCATGCTAACCAAAACAAATAATATAAAATGTTGTATTTAATATTTGGAATACAGAGACAAAACAGTGTATATATATACATATGCATACATATATATTTTTATTTTGCCAAGGAGAATTTCTACATTTTAATAAGTAATAAGATGGAGGTTGTACTTGTGTTTTGTATGATAATTTTAATTCTCTGCCTGCAGTGATTATTTGTAAATTGACTGAATTAATGTAAAAAGCCCCAAAGGTATCTTACTGTGTAAATTCTTTATGAGGCTTGTTTATATTTCCTATATGCTGTACTAGACAGTAAAGCAAGAAGACTCAATCCCTGCTTTTTCAGGGTTATTTTGATAAGTGACAATTTCCCTCTTCAATTCTAATAATCATCAGTGAAAACCCAGAACTTTCAATGGCTTGAAATAAAGGCCTTGTTGGAGGGTCTGGAAGGTGACTTACAGCAAGGGATTTTAAAGAAAAATTTGCCATATTTAATTGTGTCTGGCTTTGGTCTCTCTGGAGAGAAAGCACTGGGATTTTTGTGAGACAGGCCCAGCCTCCCCTGCACCAGCCACTGCTTTGAGGGAAAAGTTTTCCAGCTAAGAGATGAAATGGGATGGGGGAAGGAAAACACACACCACTTCCACTTTGGTCTTTGTGTGTTGCTTCATGGGTTTGAAGATTAAAAACTGAAAAACTTGACTTTCTGAACCTAAAAAGTTTGTATTTTTCAAAGTTGTTTTTTTTTTTTCCTGGAAAACGGAGATGCTTTGTACTGTGTGCAGGCAAGAGCACAAACAATGCCTGGTTTTTGAGTTTGTAAAGTAAATCTTGCAGAAATAAACTTTGTCTCCATGCTGAGATTTATTTTATTCTTTGCTTTTAAAAGAAAACAGTTGTGGCACCTCACTCCAAAGACAGTGAAAAGAATAATTTGACCGAGTTCAATAAAGTTGATGGAATTTAATAAAGTTTTAACAGTGGTTTACCAAGGTTTGAAGTTCACCTTATTAATGATTTATTCATTAGTACTAATTTCAGTTGCTCTCAGTCACTTACCAAGGAGCTGGTGTGAGTAAGGGATCCCAAACCTTGGGAGGTTTCCCTGCTCCAGGGCATTCCCCTGGCCTTCAATCCAGCTGTAATTCAGTTCTTAGGGTGAAATTGGTGCTTGTTAATCAGCAGTACACACAGAACAGATGCCTTTGTTTTAGCTCATTCTCCACTCATTATCTTGCATGTTTGGGGTTCAAAACCACCTTTCAAAATATTTTTGTGAGGTACTTTCACTCCCTTGTGAGCCGGGAGCATTCCAGCTCAAAGGGTCACCTCAGGGCAAGACTCCTGTTACTCCCTCCCAGAAACCACCCAGGAAAATCTTGATGATTCTCCTTAAAAGCAGTTTCTCTGCTAAAAATGAGCAAGCCAGGGCTGGAATTGTAAACTTGGAGCCATCACTGCACTGGCTGCTTTGGGCAAACACAAACCTGAGGCAAGAGGCTTCCATCTCCCTGGGAATGGAGCAAGGAAACTCCTTCCCCTTCATCTCCTTGGGTGAGGTGTCCAATCTGTGAGCACAGGAGTAAATAATTGCATGTTGATTATTTCCCAGGTGCTGCAAGGCACAAGAAGGAGGTTTTTCCCTTTGCCATCCTCTTCCCCAGACCCGTGGGATTACAGGCAGTTCTTTCAGGTGGATATTTCAGTATAACTGCAAACAGAGCAAACTGCAGAGGTTAAAAAAAAAAACAAACCAAAAAACCAAAGAGGCTTCACAGAATGATGAAGAAAATAACATTGACAAAGCTTTGTGTATCAGACTACATTATAAATAAGAGCATGACAGATCCTTCAGGTGTAAAAGCACCCTAAAAACTTGGGTGTTTCAAGCAGATGTGTCACTCCAAGCACTTCCCTGGCATCTTCATGGCCTGAGTGGTGTTACAGCACAGAACTCTTCAGCTGTGTGGCAATATCAAAGACAGACGAGTTCCAAGGCTGTGTTTGCAGCACTTCAAAGCTGAATGAGCAGCTGAAGATCAAACGGGGACTTGCTTTTTTCACCCCTCTTTCCTGTAAGGTCTTAACCAAGGAGGTGGAGAAAGGTGATGCTGATTTAACTTGGGTTAAAGTTACAAGATGCTTATGTAGCTTGAGGTAAAGGACACCAATAGAACCTGAACCATAACTTTGTATATTTATATAACCTGAATCATAACTTTCTCTACAATGCAGTAGCCAGTGTATGGTTAGCTAGTTGCTTAATGCTTAAATAAACAGAAATTTGCCAGGTGAATAACCTCAGAAACAGACAAGCGTAGCTATACTGGGAAGCAGGAGGATGTACAAACGAGAAATTGGCAAATATAAAGCAAATTAACCAGAAAATGAAGAATTTAGTCTGGTTAGATCCAGAAAGACCAAGGAACACGATAACTGCACATGCTCTGAAGACAAAGCTGAAAAGTTCATTTGCAAAGACCCCCAAAACCACCTAAACTGGGGAGGAGCAAGCTTAGTAGAAAAAAAGTATTTATGAGCATGAAACTGCACATGCTCTGAAGACAAAGCTGAAAAGTTCATTTGCAAAGACCCCCAAAACCACCTAAATTGGGGAGGAGCAAGCTTAGTAGAAAAAAACTATTTATGAGCATGAGATAGCATTATGTAAATTAGCTCCAGCACATATATGATGTTATAATGACATAACACTAAGTAATACTGTATAAATAAACCACAGCATTTAACAAGGATGAGTGAGATGCAGAAACCCCCCTCGCCTCCAGCACTGCAAATACCTGCTCTGTTGACACCAGTTTATGGTGGTTTATTTCCAACCAGTCTTTTCGAGCACCGTCCGTCCGTCCGTGAGGCGGTGCCGGGGCTATAACACCGCTCGAACCCATCACGGTCCGTCCGTGAGCCGGTGCTGGGGCTATAACCCCGCCCAGGCCCAGACCATGCCTCAGTTTCCCCGCCCGGGCCCGGCCCTGTGCCTCAGTTTCCCCTCCCGAGCCCGCCCCCGTGCCTCAGTTTCCCCGCCGCCCCTCTGGGCCGGGCCGCTGCGCAGCGACTCCGCCTGGCACGATAAGGTGGGAGCGGGGCGGCGGGACCGGGAGGGCCGGGCCGGGCCGGGCCGTGCCGGGCGGACCGAGGGGCCCGCGGGAGCGCCGTGAGGTGAGCGGAGCGAGAGACGAGCAGAGCGGCCGTCCGCTCGTCCCGCACCGCCCCGGAGCTGGTGCCGGAGCCCGCGCTCCTGCCCGGCCGCCCTTTTGTGTGGGTCCCCCACGCCGCCTCACGGCGGGCCGGGTCGCGCTTGGCGGGAAGGGACGGAGCGCACCGGGCAGGGCGGGCGAGGCTCGGGCGGTGCTGCCGGGGCGGATTGGGGTTGCGATGGGGGCGGCACCGGTACCGGGGCGGATGCGGCGGCTCCGGACGCGAAACCGAAAGAGTGCTCGGTGCTCCGTGCCCAGGCGCCGCGGCCGCTGCGGGGCACGGCGCTGCTCCAGCCGGGGCTCGTCCGTGTGCCCGCCCACGCTCCTTGCAGCCATTCCCTCGCTTAGAGGGCATAGGTAAATATTTACGAGTGAAAAGCGAGGCAAAATTCCGCATTTGAATGACAGAAGGGATTGTCTTGCAAGTCGTGCTTACCGCTTCGTGAAATGCATTAATGCAGCTGTTAACCTAAATACCAGAGCAGTTCTTAACTGTGAGTTGGACAGATTTCTGCTGATCTACTACCTGGAAAAGGTTCTCTCAGGTGAGGGTTGGCCTCTTCTCTGGGACAGGAGTGGACAGAGCCCCAAGCAGTGCCAGGGAGGTTCAGGCTGGGCATCCTCCAGGCAGGAATTCCTTCACTGAAAGAGTTCTTAAACATTTGAGTGTTGGAATGGCCTGCCCAGGGGTCACCATCCCTGGAGGTGTTCAGCTGCATGTGGTGCTCAGTGCTGAAACAAGGCATTTGAGCTTTAATGGGGAATTTAGGATAGTTTGGGCAATATGTATGTGAACATGGGGTATTCATTATTCTGTGGTACGGGACTGAGATAGGGGACCCTCTGAAGGATACTTGTTACCTGTCAAAATTCTGCTCAGCTCACAAATAAGAGGCCCCTGATAAAAACTGCTGAGCTTGCCAGAAAATTTGAAGCAGAGACTGTGCCTGAGAAAACATTTGAATTTGAAAGTTCAACAGCGATGAAGACTTTGAGCCTTCATCTTTGCAGGCCCCCAGGCTCATTTAAAGACCACCCACTCAATAAAAAGCATAAACTGTGCAGTCGCAGTTAATTTCCACACCGTGCGGAGGATGGGCGGGGTTAGATACTGAATATGTATAGGCGCTAATAGAATATGCATGATCTCTGTGAATAAACAGAGGATTTGCGGGTGTTGGGCTACGCAGGATTTGGGAGGATGCGCTGAATAAAATACTTTACAACCTTTGGTTGTGGAGTCACGACCGTGCTGCAGGTGACAAGGTGGTGCTTGGTCTCAGGCTGGATTCGGTGATCTCCGAGGTCTGTTCCAGCCAGGCTGACCCCGTGATTCAGTGGTTTGATTTCTGTTTTGCTCTAGATCTTTGAAACACCACCGAGACTTGGTCACCGGGGGGTGGATTGCTGAGGATAGGGCTCTGCCCTCTGCACTCAGGACATGTATGGCTGAGGGGCTCAGCCCCTTCCCTGGCTGCAGGGCAGCGCTGTTCTCCTTCCCACCATGTGACCTGGCACACCTGCACAGCAAATAGCTGCTTTTTGCAAAGGTAAATGCCACAATTGTTGGGTTTTCCCACTGTATGTGTATGTATGAGGAAACTGATGGCTTGGCTTTATGTGCTTTTTTTTAATGCTGAATAAAAGAAGTAGTTACCACCTTTCTTTTTGTGTAGTTAGTTCAAGAGTTCATGCTTTTGCAGCCTTCCATTATCTGAAGGGGCTTACAAGGAGAAGTTTGCTTCATCAGGAACTTTAGTGGTAGGACAAGGGGGAGTGGATTCAAAGTGACAGAGGGCAGGGTTAGATTGAGTATTAGGAGAGAGTTCTTCCTGTGAGGGTGCTGAGACCTTGGCACAGCGTGCCCAGAGAAGCTGTGGTTGCCCCTGGGTCCCTGGAAGTGTCCAAAGCCAGTTTGGATGGGGCTTGGAGCTGCCTGGGACAGTGGAAGGTGTCCCTGCCATGCCAGGGGGTGGGGTGAAATGATCCTTAAGGTCCCTTCCAACCCAAACCATTCTGTGGTTCCAGTGTTGTGTGGAATTCCTCAGGCTAGCAGGATCTGAGATGACTCCATTGCTGCTCAGTGAAGGATTTTTGTTTTTAGAGGAAAGCAATCTGTGGTGAGAATTTTAGCATTCTTTCTGTCTATAAAAATAACAAAGACAGGAAAGTTCTGCATAAATATCCTTTGCTTGTGACAACAGGGATTTGTTGACCTATAAATTTTAGTAGGAGATTAAGGAAAGAAGCTAATTAAACTCTGTGCCACTAGACCTAGATTCCAGAGACACCAGTAAAATAATATAAAGAGCATTGCATTGTAGTTCTGGAAATCATGCAATATATGGGAAAGATGATATTTCTTTTAATGTATAAAATGAGTTTTCACCTTTTTTTTCCCTAGTTTGCACATTTGGCTACAGTGCTTTACTTTTAGTGTGTGCTGTTCCTTCCAGAGGCATTTTTTGTGTGATGTCCCTTTAATTGCTTTAATCTCTTTAACTGCATGCACCTGGATCTTGTTAGAACACCTGCATGGAGGCTGCTAATGAGTAACTGAAATCCTGACGCTCCCCACACTTTAAAATTGTTCTGGCTGAAAGGAATATTTTGCCACTTGAAGGCTTTAGTTGCTGCTTTAATTTGGGCTTTAATTGCTGCTTCTTTGCCCCCCCAGAATGAGCACATGCCGGTGGTGCACACAGAGTGGTGCTGACACCACCGAGTTCCTGAAGCACTATGCTGCTCAAAGGCTGTCCCAGGAAGATTTTGAAGGCTCCAATGATGACCTCTGTTACTGCCTGGAGTGTGTGGTTGAATACCACAAAGCAAGGGAAGAATGTCCAAGATTGCATGAGGTAATTAATTAAGAGATGAATTAAGAGGCTTCTGTGGTCCAGCCTCGGTGTAAGGGGAGGGGTTTTGTTTTATTGGGTTTTGGGAGTTTGTGTTGCTTTTTAACTGTCTGGAGTTACAAACTGGTTGTAAAACAGAGACCCTCTTTGCATATATTCAAATTAGCAGGAACTAAACCAGTAACTAGACACTATAGCTTGGACTTCTTTCATGCTGTTGATGGTTTGTCATCTGAAACAAAGAACATCTGCCAGGCTAACAGCTCATTCCTTTGATGTACTTTCTCTTTTCCGCTGGTTTCTCTTCAGTTATTGGTTTCTTCCGGTTTTGTTTGCTTTCACTTCTCATTTGTAATTTTCTCCTGTGTTTGAATTTCAGAGATCAGACCTTGCAAGACTGTGCAATTAATCAAAAAAATTTAAACCTCTTTTGCAGTTCTGCCTTAGTAGTATACAATTTTATATTTTAGGAAAGCTTATTGTAAAACTTATTATATTATTAGCTTATTTTCCCTTCTGTGTATGTAAAGTATGTGTTTTTAGCTAATTGATCATAGTCTAAAAGGTTGCTCTTTAGATTGGTCAGCTAGATTGCTCTGGAGTGCAATTCCATGTGACTGGAAGTTCCATAGACTGGAAATAAGAGAAGTGTCTGGACCTACTGCAAGTTCCTTTTTGTGTCCATTTACTGCAGTGAATAAACTTGGTGTCTAATTGAGGTTTGGAGCAGTTACTTAAGATGAGTAAGTTAAGTGGGTGAATCCTTACAAATATCCAGAAAATCAGTCAGTCTCTTTGCATTGTTTATATTCTTTTCCTTCCAATAATTGCAAAATCTATAAAAAGGCAAGATTTTATATTTGCTTTTCCTATCTTCCTAAAGATGATCTTTTCCTGTATTGTGTCTTTCTGTGTATTGGCCAGTGGAACAAAGTTTTGTGACTAACCTAAAATAAGTATTGAAATGAATATTTAACAGAGTGGTGAAATTGCATCTGGTTTGAAGGCTGTTCTTTTAAAAATTACTTTATAGTCTCAATTTAAAGTGAGATATTTGTGCTTTGTGTAGTTGCATTCCATTTCAAAGCTTTACTGTTTTGGACCACGCGTAGAAAGAACCTTTGCAAAATGAAATTTCAATTTTTGAACGTGTAATTATCTGCATGTGGTAATAAACGTCCTTAATCACTTTCTTCACAAGTACACTTTGATTGTTGTTTTCCCCCACTGAATAGGACCTGTGGGACTTGGAAACCTCCCGCCTTGTTGCCCACATGGAGAAATCCATGAACGAAGAAGCAGGAGAGGATGAGCTGTTTCTGGTGGATGAGCATGGGGAGACACCTCTGTCTGGTTATGTGGGCCCGAATTTTGAGAACAACCTGCGAGTGCCCCTGCTGGAAATCCTGAAATACCCATACCTGCTGCTGCATGAGAAAGTCAGTATGTATCTGTGCAAGGGAGTGGTGGTGTTCCACTGCACCAGGTGAAAATGAACAGTGCTTAAACCAGAGGAACAATGTATAATTTATTTTGATACTAAATACACTTTGTTTGTGAGCCTGTAAATTAGTCCTTACTATAACTATATTACCCTTTTAGGTGAGCTGTGTGTAGAAGTGCTCTGCAGAATGGAACTAAGTCAAGACTCCTTTCAGGTCTTTGAGAAGTACCCAGGAATTTATCTCTTTTTGGTACACCCAAATGAGGTGGTAAGTTCCTTTTTCTGTTCTACTAAATCCTGGTTATGTGCACATGCTAATACTGAAAGGACTGAGTGCTGTCTTGTATAATTTTAGAAAATGTGTGGTGCATTTTTCTGCAAATAAAACTTGATCTCTGTTACAGTATGCACTTCTCTGATTAGAATATCTTGGTCAGTTTCATGTAAATAACATAAAATTAGTACAAACCAACTGTTGCACATAAATCCCAAACAATTTCCTTTATAGGTATTACCCTGAATTTTAGCTTCCTTGTCATCAACATCATCTCGTAGATATAGCAAGCCTGTTGCTAAGGTTATTTTGAAGACTTATTTTTAATTATTCTATTAGTAAAAATATGCCTTTGTCCCATTTGTAATAGCAGTGCTTCCTCTTACAGAATTTACTTCTTTTTATTAATATAAAACTATTTGTTTCAATCCTTAGGTTCGTCGATGGGCCATCCTAACAGCAAGGAATTTAGGAAAGGTTGACAGGGATGATTACTACGACTTAGAGGAAGTGCTGGCTTGTTTGTTCAGAGTTATTGAGTTGGGGCTTTTTGAGAACCCAGATATTTACAGCTCTTCAATGTTTGAAAAGGGTAAACTCATCCTTCTGCCAGCTCATTTGTATGATACAGCCAACTACAAGAACTATTGGCTGGGTGAGTATTTATGATCAGAAATGAGTTTGTGTTGTCTCCCATTTGTAAGCAGTTTTTTCAAGTCAGAGCTGTACAAATTCATAGGTGCTGTGTATTTTTTCAAATATATAGACAGGTTGCTTCTGTTTTTTCTTCTGCAGGAATTTGCATGTTGCTGTCAGTGCTGGAAGAACAAGCAATGGACTCTTTGTTACTGGGCCCAGACAAACAAAATGATTTCATGCAGTCTATACTTCACACTATGGAGAAAGAAGCAGCTGGTAACTAGTTTTGATACTGAGATTAAGACAGTTTATAGCTCATTTTTTCATCTTTAGGAAATTCCTTGTTAAGTTCCTAGTAGTGTAATGAGAGGTAATTTTACCTGAGGCCTATTTATCTTCTGGAAGGTGCAATATTTGGGCAATACTGACAAATACTGAAAGATGACATCCAAAGTCTGCAGTGAAGAAGGGATAGTGGTGCTTTTGCTAAATCCGTCTTAGAGGTTTTAAGAGAACAAATCTGCAATTTCTGTCACTGTTTTCATTTAATGTACAGGCTGCATGTGCACACAGAGTGCTCGTTTCATTGTGGCATGAAGTTTGAATTTTGAGTCCTGAAGTAAAGAAACCCCTTCTGAATTGCTGCAGTTTGCCTTAAAATTTGACTTTTCCATCTGTCCATTTGAGGGGACCTCCTTTTGCAGCTGTAAATTTGGACTTTAGAATTTAGACTTAGTAACCCCGTGGGTTTCCATGGCATAGTCTGGGAATGGCCTGTGAGCTCAGGATTGCCTCTTATATGAACAAATTTTTATAAACTTTGTGATTATTGAGAGTATGATATTTTCTTACATGAAGGAGTAAGAGCACACTTGAAAGTACCAATTGCTTTTAATATAACTGTGAAGTATAAATTAGCTGTGTAAGTGAAAGCATAAATAACTGTGTAAGTTGTGCCACTTCTTAGCACACCCCTGCAAAAACCAGTGTGAAAGAATCAGTTTCATAGAGTGGGAAAATATCAGTATTTTAATATTTAATATTAAATATTTAATTTTATATTTTAATAATATAAAATATTTAATATTAATAATGGGCATCCAGGCTCCTATTGATTTAAGACTGCATAAGGAGCAGTGTCTCTGTACAAATGAGGCAGCCTGACTTCTAAAATTCTTTTTCCACTAAAAAGTACTGTTGCAACTTACTAGAATACTTTTTTATTGATATTTTAGAAAAATCTATAAGAACCAGCTCTTTCAATTTCTACTTAGCTTAAGAATGTCCAGGACTTGCATTTCAACCCTCTCCACTGTTCCTGTTGTGTTTCAGATGATTCCACTGACCCCTTCTGGCCTGCTCTACACTGTTTCATGGTTATTTTGGATCAGCTTGGGTCTAAAGTTTGGGGTCAGCTGATTGATCCTGTCCAGGCCTTTCAAACCATAATCAACAGTGTCAGCTACAACAACGAAATCAAAAACATTCGCAGTAGCTTTAAGAGGTCAGTTCTTGTCAGTGCTGCTGTAATTTTTGTTGGGGGAGGGAGATGGCAATTAAAAAAATATCATGTTTCCAACTTCAAGTAAAGAAAAGTTGAAGTAGGTCCCCTGGAATTGTGATGTTCCTTCAGAAAAATACATGCTTGCTTCTCTTTGGTAACTCTGGTGTCTCTGTTAAACTTGTTAGGATTTTTTTTTCCTGAATTGGGAAGACTGTTAACTGTTCAGTGCTTATTTAGTGCTACAACCAACTTGCACTGAAGGTTAATGAAAATTGCCATGTTCAAGGTTTGCTAAATTTATGGAAATTCCTGAATTTTCAGTAGATGGCATTCTGGGCATTTGTTTTTTATATAGGCAAATCCGTGACTCAGTAGAAAGCTTTTTCCTGAGACAGTCACTTCCCCCACCTCTTACAAGCTGGATAGAACAAGCTCTACACTTTTTAATATGTGTGTTTTATCACTGACAAGTTCTAATGCTCATTAAATATCTGGAAAGCAATGTCTCTCCTGAGTTTCTTAGGGTTTTAATTGTGGAGTCTGTAGTAATCTGTGTTTCTTTTCAGGACAAAAGCTGAACCAGAGTCAGACTACGGTGATGACATGATTTCTTGCAGTCAGATTGTGTATAATTATAACACAGAAAAGCCTCAAAAGGTATTAAACCAGTATTTTATATTCCTTTTCTTTGAACTGGGATCACTTAATTGCATTGTCAAGAATAAACATTTCCAAGTGTGGTCATCTCTTGATGTCAATGTATTGCATTTATGAAGTGTCTTTTAAAGACTTTTAATGTGTTTTTGATTATTTGACGTTAAATTATATCATCATGACAGTGTCTTTGAATAGTTCACAATGAATTTTAAAGGAGCTAGTACTTCACACCAATTTAATAGATAACATTTTAGGAAATTAGTTCCTTGTTATGTCTGTGTGCTCTTTATTTTTTTTTTTTTTTGATGGCTTACTTTGGGATATAAGAGATGTTACTGTTTAATGAACAAATATATAAAAGGAAGTAACAAAAAAGCTTGGCTACAAGAAAGCTGCCATATTAAACTGTGCATATCACTGAGGCTGTTGTGTGGTGAATGTATTTTTAGGACACTGGCTGGAAGGCTGCCATTTGCCCAGAGTACTGCCCCAACATGTATGAAGATATGCAGACCCTGGCTAACATGCTTCAGTCTGACATTGGCAGAGACATGCGTGTCCATCACAGCACGTTCCTCTGGTTCATCCCTTTCGTTCAGTCCCTTATGGATCTCAAGGACTTGGGTGTGGCCTATATAGTAGAGGTCATCCACTACCTCTGCTCAGAAATCAAAGATATCCTCATCGAACGATTCCAGGAGTGCGACAAAATCTCCGAGTTCTTCCTCCTCATCTTGGTGTCCATCGTTGAGCTGCACAGAAGTAAGAAGTGCCTGCACTTGCTGTGGATCAGCTCCCAGGAGTGGGTGGAGGCAGTGGTGAGGTGTGCCACGCTGCCAAGCAGAGCCTTCACGCGCTGCAGCGAGAAGGCGCCGGGGCCGTTCGCCAAGGGCTCGGCCGCGGGGTCCTTCCAGGCGCCCAGCTCGGTGCAGCACGCCTGCGTGCAGCTCATCCGCAGCCTGCTCAAGGAGGGCTACCAGATCGGCCAGCACGCCCTCTGCAAGCAGTACCTGGACAAACTCAACCTCCTCCTGAGGGGAAATCGGGCTGTGGGGTGGCAGCTGAGCAGCCAGGAGGCCCAGGAGCTGCAAATGTGTTTAAAGCAAGTTATAAGAAGTATAAAGGGCAAAGCACTGAGCGCCTCTTTGGCTGGAGGGAGCGGTTCAAGCTCAACAGCTTTGCCAACTGTCTCTACAAAGCACGAGAGGAATGCCTGTGATGATGGATACAAGATGAGTGGAGATGAGAGGAGGGATCTTTATTCACCATTTGTCATGTCAAAGGAAGGCAGAGATTGCCAAGAGTACCCTTTGCATAGGAGAAAGAATGCGTGGGAAGAGGAATGTAGAGATGCATGTAGAAGTTCAACGTCTTGCACATCCACAGAAGGCCTCTTGATGAATATTAAAAAGGAGCCTAATGACTTAACAGCTCAGGAGTTTGTCTTCCCACAGAACTCTTTGGCAACAAAAGTATGTGGGAAAGTTCAGGAAAATAGGAGCTCTGATCTTGTGGCAGGGAAATGCAATACGAATGATCAGTGCTTCAATTCAAGTACTGAGCATTCAGATTTCAGGAGAGGCAGAGAGTTAGAAGTGAAACACAAAGCAGAATCCAAAACGCCGCCATATCTGTCTGCTCAGACTCATCTTGATTCTCCATCTTCAAGGAGTTGCAAAAGTATGCAAGAGACAAGTGCAAACAGTGTGTTCCAGTCCAGACTGGTCCCCACTAAACAGGTGTCCAAGGAAGCACCACTGGATTCCTCTAACTCTGCTGGAAATGAAGCTGGTGTGCAAGGGAAGGAAGATGACAGTACTTTACTTTTAGGGCGTAATGACACCTTGCTGAAAAAAGTATCAACAGAAGAAAAATCAGGTTCATCGTTGCTGTCTTTCTTTAAGAGGAGCAGTAACGTGCAAACTTCAAACCAGGAGCAGCCTAATTTAAATGATTTGGATAAATATGACTGCAAAAATCAATTTTCGGAGACCTTTTGTAGGGATAAAGTTTCAGTGAGTGGTTATTTTCCGTTTAGCTCTGAAAACAAGAGGGATATGATCAGGCCACTGTCAGTGAAGTGTGAATCAAGTGACAGGTTGTTTGAGTTTTCAGAATATTTCAGGAGGGAAAACAGTTCAGTGGGGAAGAAAGAAGAGAATTTTGTGAAGACGGTTTCTAAAGATGATGAATTATCAGACTCCCAGGTTGATAGAGAACTCAGTAAATTATCTTTAGCTGCTTATGCCAAAAGTGTTAATTTTCCCATTGCATCCAACCAGGAAAGCTCAGTGTACCACAATGCATCTGATATTAAAAGGAAAGTGAAAGGTTCTGTGAGATCTTCCAATGATGGCCAAACTGCCAAGTGTCCCAGTGGTGGAGATCGCCCTAGCAATCAAGTCATTGTCATTTCAGACTCTTCTGATGAGGAAAAAAACGTGGCTGAGAAGGAGGAAACAACAACCAAGAACAATAATGTGTGTGCAGAGCCGTCTTCAACTTCCAGCAGCACTTCTGATAGTGACACTAAAAGAGAATCAAAGTCTCCAGGCTCTCCCATGTTACTGGATGAATGTGATTCTCAGTACTTTGAATTTGAAACAGAAGCTGAGGTTTTTTCAGCTTGGCAAGATACTCAAGAATATGCTATGCAAGCAACTCAGGAGTATAAACAAGATCGTGTTTCACCAGCACCTGAGACAAGTAATTCAGATGACTGCCTGAATGATAACTTGAATGACTGGGGCTATGATGTGCATTACTTTAGTGATGACGCCATGGAAGAGGCAGCAAGCTCAATAGAAAAGCAGACAGAAGATACTTCTTATCAGAAAGAAGCTGATGATACAAAAGAAGTGACTAATTCAACCTTGGAAGAATCAGTTGGCAAGGAAGATGCAAAAGGTCAACTGGAGAAATGTGCAGACAAAGGTACTGCTGAAGGCTTCACCCTGGACCCAAAAGTGCCTGAACCCACAGCATCTACATCTCCCATCTCATTAGCTTCAAAGTTGGCCCTTAAGAAAAACAGCACAAGCCCACAGAAGACCACAGCAAAATGTAAATCGGCATTGTCTGTTCAGAGAAGTCCTAAAAAACCTCCCGTTGTTAAAACAGCCAAAACCAAAACACCACTCCAGAGCACGACAGAACGTTCTCAGCCTGGCAGGTCAATGCCTGCTGTGGTTCCTCCAAGGAAGGTGAGGCAGAGTCCTGCTCCAGCGTCAACTGCAGAAAAGCTTGGCCTAAAGAAGGGCCCCCGCAAGGCGTTCGACTTGTCCCAGCCCTCCCTGGAGAGCCTGGCTCTGCTGCGCAGCCACGGCAAAGCTGCAGGCAGGATTGGAGTTACACAGAAAAAAAGGACCAAACAGATCGAGGCTCAGCGTTTGTCTGTAAAAGGTAACAAAAAACTGCTAGCCTGCCAAGACCGCCAGTATCCAAGGCCCAAGAGAAGTGTGAAAAGTTCTGTAGGAGGTTCACATAGTAGAAACAAAGTTACCAAAATGTGTGCAAAACCTGTGGAACAAAAGCCTCAAAGTTTTGAACTGGCGGCTATTAAAGACTCTGTTGAAAACCAAAGGGAGAAAAAAAGAGAAGAGGCTTCTTGTCCTTCTGCCAGTGAGAGAAAATATGAGAGCCTCTCTGTGGAGGAGGTGGCAAATGCCTCTAAAATGCCTCATTCTTCAGACTGGAACAGCAAATGGGAGGGTAACAGTGTCGTGGTTCCTCCTGTCCCTGTGGATTCAAGTCTCTCTTCCACTACACTTGAAGGTGGTAAAGAGGAGTCTTCAGGAAAAGGTTGCACTGTCCTGCCTGAGTGCGAGATGAAAACTTCAAAGCAAAATGGGTGTAAGTCAGATGAAAGCAGTGACGAAGGTGATGATAATCTGTTTTTAACCCAGTTAGATCCTGTGGATATGGAGTTATGTTCTCAGGAGGAAAGTGTTCAAGATGCTGCTATAGGTAGTAAGACCCCAGAGGAAATGGATGTTGATGAAAGCCTTCAGCAGAATGAACTCTCAGCTGTTGTGAAATGTAAGGACAAAGACTGTGTGGAACACGTGGAAAAACCTGGAGAGTACTGCAGTAAACACCCAACCACCAGCCCAGGGGCAGATCACGTGTTTGCCAAGCCTTCTCTCCCACCACCTAAAACAAAAAAGCCTTCCACTACCAAAATTTTCAGCTCAGCAAGTTCTTCACGGAATGCAGCCTTCAGCAAAGATCTGGAAGATGTCAGAAAGTTGCCCCCACCTTCAAAAAGCAAAGTGAACACGGCCAAACCGGCGGTGGTCAGGCCACCAGTGTATCCAAAACCTGCACCAGCAGGAAATCCAACGTGCAAATCTTCAAGTTTCAGTAACGTACCTCAACCCCTTAGTTCCAGTAATGTTCTCCAGTCACAAAATAAACACTATGACAATGCTTCAAATATTTCCAGGGGGCCTGGCCGAGAAACCTACTCCTCTTTTCTTGGTGCTCAGCAGCGCGATTACAGCATTTTTGTTAACCAAGTCCTAAAGTGGACTTACGAAATGTTTGCAAACTTCAGCTGCTTTGGAACTCCAAATAATCTTCTGCAGACCATAGTAGCTTCTGTTCCTGTCCAATTTCCGGGCTACAATGAGTATTTTAACACATTTTTTCCTTTGATGATGCTCAATGCCTTTGAAACCGTAAGTAGCTTTCTGCCTTTTGGTTTGGTTTCATCAACACTGATAAATTTTACCAAGAGATTAAAACCTGGTTTACACCCTCTATTTACCTTTGAAAAGGTTCAGATAGAGATCAGAATAGAGGAGCAATTTGGGATAGATAATCCAAACAGCTGTGTTTAAATTAGGGACTACCAGAGTTACTCACCTCAGTGAAGTGTTTATTTTTTTCCTGGGTGCACACCCACAGTAAGAGGAGTGGCAAAGAATGTGGTTCCTCTCTATAATTTATAAAGCTCAAAACAGAAATCTTTAAGAAACTGAGGTCTTTCAATGCCAGAGGATGAAAACCTGGTTTTGGTTTCTGTTGAGAACTTACATGAGAGGGAAGGTTAATCCAGGAAGTATTTTTTCCCAATCTTTGTTGGTTTATAGCTTAATAGTGACAAAACACAGTGTTCCTTCAATTAATGTCTGAATGCTTTCAAGTTCAGTCATTGCATCACTTCTATAGAAATAAGCTAGAAAATAAAGCCAATGCCAGGTTAATACTGATATTTTAAGGTGAAAATGCAGTCAGGGAAGATTAAGAGTAGTTGTGAAGAGGTTTAAGAAAGTACATGAAATGGGTGAGTGGCAAGGAAGAACTTCTGTTTGCCCTGTGTGTTTATATGTAATGGGTATGCTTATGTGAAAGAAAAAAATGGGTAAGACTCTTGATATATTTACTTAACAGTCTTATAGTTTTATTTTGTTTATTTGCCCTCTGAGTCATGGTAAGATTTTCTTCTGATGCACTAAACCCTTCAAAGTATTATTGCTTCCTTTTCAACATGTAGCTGGCACAAGAATGGGTAGAAAACCAGAAAGTAAGAGAGAAAGGTTATTGCTTCTACTTAGAGAACTTTTCTGCTGACATGAATACAGCACATTTTACAGGTGAGGGTTGTTTTTTTTAATCTGATTTTCAAGTAGATGATGCATTATAATGAGCTGGCAGTTAGAGGCAGAGTTTTTTATGTTTGCTTTAAATCTGGAAAGGATTTGAATTTTGCTACAGAATGCATGTAAGAGAACTATGTATTTTGCAAGGGGTTTGTTTCTTCCATCTCTCTCATCTGGGATTTTTTTCAGCTTGTTTTGATAAAGTTGTCCTTGACTTGCTCTGTTTATATACAGTGCTGTGCTCAGGCTTAAGAATGCAGGATGGAATTAAAATTTTCACAATAATCTTTTGCTGTAGCCTTTAACAGCTTTAAAAAGTTAACAGTACTTCTGCAGTCACGTAGAAAATGTAACGATTTTCTTTTCAACCTTGTGATTGTAATTTGTCTTTTGGGTAGCTCATCTACGAGAGAGTGATTTGGCGAGGCAGCTTCATCCGAAGGAGGATGACTTAATCCTTTTGAAGGTCCACAAGGAGAAGGAAACTTTTGGGGAAGAAAGTGGGATGGAGTACCACACAGTGAATCATGTTGGCCTTGTGACACGTTTTTCTCGTGCTTCTGGCTGTGCAAATAGTGAGTAGCAGGGCTAGAAATAAAAATGGGGTCCTTCTTGGTGCTATAAAATGTTTCTTCATGGCTGGCTGTTGGTAATTGTAATGTACCACTGGCCTCAGAGGAAATGGAATTGTTTTTCCTCTGTAGCAGGTCTGTTCTGTGCTAGAAGCTTTGTAAAAATCAGGAAGTGAAGCTGCAGCCCTACTGTCCATCATTTTTCTGGAACTTCATGTAGAAAAAGAAACTAGTGATGAGTCAATGTTCTGCAAGCATCTCTAGGATGGTATTGCCAGGAGATAGGAAGTGCCATGAACTTCTGTGATCTCTGTCTAAAATTGTCACTGTCTTTGGGAGTTGAAACTGTGAGTTACCAGGATTACCAAGGACCCAGAGCCTGCCTTATTAAAGCAGGGATCTGAGTAGTTGTACAGAGCACTGGGGCTTTTGTTTGTTTGTTTGTTTGGGGTTTTTTTTTTTTTTCTGTTTGTTTGGTTTTTTGGTGGGGTGGGAAGTGTTGGCATTTTGCAAGAATTCATTGTTGATTCCCTAGCAGAAGACAGCATCTTGTTGCAGTGAATTCATTGAGTGACTTCCTGGAGTGTCTTTCAATTAATGATTTGGATACTTTTTAAATTAACTACTTGTTTTTTTTTATTCTTCTTTAACAGGACAAAAAGAGCAGCAAACTGCCTGTCATCTTACTGTGCAAACCCGAGGCAATCTGTCATTCTTTGTCCATAAGCAAGTGAAGTGTGTGGTGGTTGGCTCCCTGGTGACCACACACAGAAAGTTTAAAGGTCTGCTGCTGCTGAGCAGGAGCCCCCTGGCTAGACCCATCATAAATCCAAGTTACAATGACTTCTGTCCCAGAGATCTGCCTGTTGCCTCAGGAAGTGCTGTAAGTCGTGGGGCTGGGAGTGCCAGGGTTAACAGAAAAAGCATTTGGGCCTCGTGAGTTTTGCAGGTTTGGTTTTTTATGTTGGTTTTTGAGATGACCAAGAGAAAATAGCCACGTTTCAAAATTCACTGAGACACTGCCCTCTTCAGAATTGGCTGCTGGGGTGGAGGAGATGAGTCTGAACTTGCTCAGGTGTTTGTGCTCTATTGTTATAGTTTTTGTTATTGTTATAGTTTGTGCTCTGTTGTTATAGAGCTTCAAACTGCTTTCCTCTTACTGGGGAATTTTCAGGAAATAAAATATAGGATGGAAAAGGTATTGTAAAATAAAGGTGTGGGGAGTGAACAAAACTTTGTTGCAACTCAGGTGAGGATTGGGTGTGTGTCTAGAGCAAACCTAGAATCAAAAGCTTCCCTGTCCTTCCATCCTTCCAGCTTTTGAGTTCTAGCTAGAGAGGTGAGGATGTTTTGAAAGTATAGAAGATTGATGTGGAAGGTGTGATCAACATGACTTCATTATTTTTTCCCCCTGTCTATTCCTTCAGGTTTCATGTATGAATGAATACAATGAAGATCAAAAGAGAGCCATTGAGACAGCTTATGCCATGGTCAAGCAGCACCCAGGACTCCCCAAGATTTGCCTTATCCATGGACCACCTGGGACAGGGAAATCCAAAACTATTGTAGGACTCCTGTCCCGTGTTTTGAGAGAAGTAAGTGAATGTGATCATGTACTGGGGTTTGGTTCAGATGAATGTACAGTCTGGCTTCTCAGTCTCAGGTGGAAACAATCTAAAGAGCTTGTTTGCTGTTAATTAATCTACAGAACACTAGGAATGAGAAAACAGCTCGGAAAAAAAATTCCAAGATTAAGCCAAACCGTTTTCTAGTGTGTGCACCATCAAATGCTGCTGTTGATGAACTCATGAAAAAGATCATCGTTTCATTTAAGGAAAAATGCCAAAACAAACAGGAGCCTTTGGGTATGGTTTGTTTTTAAATTGTTTTAATGTTAAGTGGGCAAAACCTGGAGGAGGAACTGAAACATTTGATCATGTACTGTACTTGCATGCTCCTCTGAGCAGCTTCTTCCTCTTGCAGAACACAACTGCTACAGCCTTTTACATTTTTAACTTTAATGTGATTTTCTTAAAGGTGTATTGTGAGTTTTTTAAAATAAGTTACACTTTTTGTATAGACATTGCCCCTTTCCTCATGCTGTTAGTTTAAGTTCATACTCTTTGGGGATTTGAAGTCCCTTGCCTTATTTTGAATAAAATTCGACTTTGTGGGTCATGGGAAACAGACTGGTGAAAATGTTGATATGTCTAAGCTTCTCATTTTTCCTCCTCCCAGTTTGTGACTAATACAAAGTAGATTAATTCTGTTTAAGGCATCTAGTTTGTGGCAAGGTGAAAAATACCTGCATTGTAACCAATTTTATTTTGGTATTGACTTACCAATTGCATTACTTGGTGGGACTCAGCATTGTCCAAGTTAGGAATTCTGGAAGTTTTAGATAAACCTGAGAATAAGAGGTAGTTTCATTAATTCAAAAGAACATTCTTAATGTTAGCCACGACTGAAATGTGGGCAACATCTTTATTTTTTAGAGTTTGGAATTACTGAATTTTTTGTAGCTGCATTTAAGTACAAGTCAAGTGTTGAAAACTCCAGATAAGTAGAAAAGCCTTGTTTGATATCCATGATGTTTTATATTTTTTAAATTGTCATAGCAAAGCATAGAGACAGTTGGAGTAATTTAAGAGTATTTTGACTCCTGATTTTGTAAACAGGAAATTGTGGTGATATCAAATTAGTGAGACTTGGTGCTGAAAAATCAATCAACAATGAAGTGCGGGGATTCAGCCTGGATAAACAAGTTGAACACAGAATGAGTAAGTAATGTGGAAATCAGACTTTTCTTCATTTTTCTCTAAGAGCTTGGTGATGTTTTCCACATGGGATTGTGTCCTGTAAGAAGGAAGATGTTTCTAAAATAGTATTTCATAAAACATTGTTTTTCTCAGCCCTAGTGGGGAAATGGCAGTTTATGTATGAGCCAGGATCTAAGGAAAAGGAAAAAAATAAGCAAAGTGACCTTTTTCTTTAATAAATGACATTGCATACATGTTAAAGCCATCATTTTTGAAACAGTGCAACATTTGAGAACTACAGTTGGAATCAATTCTCGTTGTCTTCATTGTACAAGATAAAACTTGAATAGAAAATAGGAAAATGCAGCAAAAAAAATGCATTTCTCCAATTTGAAGTCACTGTAACAGCTTTTCTATTCCTCTTGTGTTCTCCTTTGGTTTGTTGCAGAAAGAAAGCCGGGTGACTGTGACCAGGACATTCAGAAGAAGAAGGAAGCCCTGGATCAGAAGCTGGACATGCTCTCTCGAGAGCGTGCCATGCACAGATGTGAGAAGAGAGAGGTAACAAGACAAGTTTTAATCCTCTTTGTGCTTTTGTGTTCCTAACACAAAAACAACTCTGCTTTTTGGTGTCACTGTCTCTTCACCCACTTTTTGAACTAATGGAAAGGTTGGTACCACAATGAAAGGGAATGGAGAACTTTACATCAGGAATTTTTTTGTTTATTTATGCCAGTATTTTCCACTGGTTGATCATGCCACTTGTTGCTCTATCATTCAGTAACCTTCACTTGATTCTGTCACTGGTTAGATTTTAATGTAACAATATTTATACATCTTAATGCTTTAAATTGATTATATGTTTCAAAGCTCTTGTTTTTGTTTCATTGAAAATACAGGAAGATACCTCATGATCTGAGATTTTGGAATATGTGTTGCACTTGAGGTTTTCCATTTTTTTGTCTAAGAATTTGGCATTTATGCCAAATAAGAGATTCCTGGTGGTAAACCACTTCTCAGTTGCACAAATGTGTAAGATCTGGTGTTGTGTGTTGCAGTGCCTAAATACAGTGACAGCTTTCCAAGAAACTGATTGGCTTCTTCAGACACATTTGATACTAAAAGACTGAGCCAGTCTACATGTTTAGGAAATTAATTAGGGCATGAGAAGGTATATGGCAAATGGGTGGTGCTAAAGGTGGTTCCTCTTTAATTTTTCCCCCATCTAGAGTCAAATGTTAAATGATGAAATTGGCAGACTTGCAAAGGAGAGACAACAACTCGCTTCTCAGCTGAAGGAGGTAGGAGAATTTATCTCTAATAATAAATAGAGATAAATAATATCTCTAATATTCTTCAGCTGTTGTATTTTTATGCCTGGTGTCTTTTAATTGTGGTGAAATTTGGTTTTGATGTAGCCTGGAGCATTTATAAAGTAGTGGGTAAATGGATCAAGGCCATAAGCTGAATAAGTTGTGGACAGTTAGCTGTGAAATCTGGGTGTGTTCTGGCTGCATATTGGGAAAAAGCCCAAACAGGAACATTCACTGCTGCAGTTAAAGCTGAATTTTAACCAGGGTGTCCTGTTGTGCTTGAAGGTCCGGGTGCACTCCCAGAAAGTGCAGGCAGACATCATCCTGGAGTCTGACATCATCTGCTGCACGCTGAGCACCAGCGGGGGCAGCCTGCTGGAATCCGCCTTCTCCCGCCAGGGGCTCGATCCCTTCAGCTGTGTCATCGTGGACGAGGTCAGTGCAGCAGAGGGGAACTCCCCTCCTCCACACCTGCCCTGGCTCTGCTTGGCCAGCCTGGGGCTCTTTGGCTGCTGCTGCAAAATTTGTGGGTTGCTTGCCTGGTAGAACCACGAGGAGACAGAATAATTTTAAATTGATTCTTTTCCTGGCTTGTTGTTTGGTGCTGTAATGGCAGACAGCTTTTATTTAGAACCACACTTTAGCCATAGTTTTTTGCTTTAAAGATTTCCAGATGGCTTGGTTATATTTTTATCTGTTTGGAGAGCTTTGCATATATAATAATAAAATAAATCTGTGTGTAGTTTTTTACTAGAGAAAAGTCCTTCTTTTTCTTTTTAATTTTTTTTTATTTATTTAGAAAACTTAAAGCATTTGCGTTATTCTGGTTGTGTTACAAGAAATTTAATGTACTTCCCTGCTTTGCTTACAACTTCTACTTTTGTCCTGTTTGCATATCCAAAAGGCAGGGCAGTCCTGTGAGGTGGAAACACTGATTCCACTGATCCATCGCTGTAATAAACTTGTCCTCGTTGGAGATCCCAAACAGCTCCCTCCTACTGTCAAATCAGTAGTAAGTGTTCAAGCTCTGCTTTTTTCTTGCCATAGAATGGATATGGTTAAAGAACAGTATCTGTAGAAAATATTTGAAGAGGGGGAAAAAGATACATTTCAATGGGGCAATACAAACTTGAAGCTGGGAATTTGGTTTGTGAGGGATATTGGGTTGTGGCAGGCTCTGTTTTCTCATTTTGGGAGCTTCAGTCCCTATTCCTGGAGGATGAAGACTGCTTGTTTGTATGGGGACTTCTTGACCCTACAGGTGTTTAAAAATAAATATATAGGAGCACATCCTTGTCTCCAACAGTAAAGGGTGTGTTAAGCACCTGCTAAAGAAAGGAGGAAAACCAGGCTGGCTTCTTTAGAGCAATAAATTGTTTAGAGGTGTGTGTTCATTTAACAAGATCCCACCTGGAAAGTCTTGAAAGTCTTTCTCTTGAAAAGTCTTGAAAGTCCCACTTGAAAGTCTTTCCCATTTGGTTGATGTTCTTAAAATTCTGCCGTGTTAGGAGTCACAAGGAGAAGTTGTCTTGTTAAAGACTAGACACAAAAATTCAGGTTTGTGCAGGTGGCCTTTACTGAAGTAAGACCAGCACACAAAGAAAACTGAAGCACAAGTAGTTGTCATTTTGTCAAGGATTTAGAAGTTTAAAACACCAAATTGACTTTCAAATTCACCAAACCACTTTGCCTGGTGGGGAGTGAGATCCCAAATGAGCTCTCCTGTTCTCCCTGTGGCAGAAAGCTCAGCAGTATGGCTATGACCAGTCCCTGATGGCCCGTCTGCAGAGGCACCTGGAGGAGCAAGTGCAGAGGAACATGCTGCACAGCCTGCCTGTGGTGCAGCTGACTGTGCAGTACAGGATGCACCCAGACATCTGCCTCTTCCCATCCAACTATGTTTATGGCAGGACTCTAAAAACTGCCAAGTGAGTAGCACTCTATTTCTCTTCCTGAGCAGAGGGTATGTCAAAGCAATTTTTTCATGTCATGGTGTTCTTGGGAGTCTAAAAATGCTTGAGGTTGTGGGAGGGGGAGAGATTGTTAATGGGAGAAAATGTGCATTCCATCTCTGTTAGTGCTGGGTGTGATAGGTAAGAGCCCTTAAAATTATGCATACAGAGTACTGAGAGTTCATTTTCAGGCCTCAGTCTATTTGGGCAGCAGGGAAAACTAAAGATTCTGGGGAGGAAAAGAGCTGAAAGTTACAATCATAAAATGAGTGAGGTTGGAAAAGACTTTTAGTGCCATCAAGCTCATATGTCAACCATTTCCACCATTTAATCATGTCTTCACATGCCATAGCCACATGATTTTTGAACACTTCCAGGAGTGGTGATTCTCTCTTCCCTGGACAGGCTGTTCCAATCCTTTACAACCCTTTCTGTGAAAAAAAATTTCCTTTTATCTAATCCAGACCTCCTTTGATGGAGCTTTAGGCTAGTTCCTCTCTTTCTGGAAAGTTGCTTGTGTTTGATAACCATTATATAAATTAATGGAATGTAAGTTCTTAGAATTTCTTATTTGTACAGTTGCCTAGTGATAAAAATATTATTTCCAGGGCAATAGAGGAGAACAGATGTTCTTCAGAATGGCCATTCCAGCCCTACCTGATTTTTGATGTAGCTGATGGTCGTGAGGAGCGAGACAATGAGTAAGTCCTGCATTCTAATTCAGCCAAAGTTTAGATTTTCTGAGAATTAATTGCCTGCAGAAGAGCTTTGTTCTCTCCTTCATTGTTCCAATATGATCAAGTAGTTAGAACTGCATATTCCAGCTGATAAGATTTAATTTCACCAAAAAATCAGAGGTTTTCTTAAATCTGAAACTGGTTTTAATCCTGGTTTGACTCACTGTTAGATGCCACTAAATGCCTACAGGCTCTGTTAGCTCTACCAAGAGTTTGAATTGCTGATTTTATCAGAGTTCCCTTTCCCGGGTGCACAGTGAGGAGATGCCAGGAGGTGGCAGGCTCAGCCCTCCCCTTTGCCTGCTCTGTAAGGAGAGCACAGCTGGAGGTGCTGAGGGAATGTGGAAGTGCAACTTTTCACTGCCTGCACTTCCCAGGCTTAGTAGCCCCTCCTCAGGGTCTGCTTGCCAAGTTCTTTGATCCTCTCTGTGAAAAAAGATGCAAAAGTTCAAAACAGGGGCAGTGACTCAAAATTCCCAAACAAACTGGGCCAATGCTTTGAATTGGAAAGATCTCTCAAATCTCTCAAAGTGTTCCTGTAATGTTTCCTTTTTGTCCTGTGCAGCTCTTACAGCAATCCTCGGGAGGTGAAGCTGGTGATGGAGTTAATTAGAACAATTAAAGAAAAAAGGAAAGATCTGGGCCTTCGTCGCATTGGAATAATTACCCCTTACAGTGCACAGAAAAAGAAAATCCAGGAACAACTGGACAGTGCGTTTAAGAATAACAGGTAAAGAAACCAAGAACTTTCAAATGGCCCTTGGCTCTTGCATATTAATCCTTTGTTTATCCTCTTAAATAATGGTAAAAAGTCTCGAACTTCTTCCTGTACTGCTAAAATTGGCACTTGGTTGTGCCTTTAAATGGGATGTGTGACCCTTTTGCTTAAAACAGGCATGGTCTCCTAGTGTCATTCTTAGTTATTACCCACATGCTTTGATTATAGTGCTGTTCTGAATAAAAGAACCTAAAATTCAATGCTGTGTTGACCCAAACAGATTTTCAGAATGATGCTGATCTCAGAAAAGTGAATGCAGCTTTTAGGCTCATGTACTGAAGGAGAAACTTACCCTGAGTGGTTTGACATGAGCATTAAGGATAGTGTTTAGACTATTTGCATCAATGTGTTGCTTAAAAATCCAAGTCATAATGATCAAGCTGCTCAATTGTATTTCTTGAACAGCCCAGGAGAAGTGGACACAGTGGATGCGTTCCAGGGCCGGGAGAAGGATTGCATCATCGTGTCCTGTGTGCGGGCAAACAGCTCCGAGGGCTCCTCTCTGCCACACGTGCAGGCAAACAGCACCAAAGGATCCATTGGGTATGTGTCCTGCAGGCATTTGCAGTCCCATTTCCAGGGACACTGCAGAGAAAGTCGTATTTTTAACAGGGCTGGTTAGAAAGTTACAGAGAGCAAGTCACTTCTACCAGTCAGTGAATAAAGGGTGTCTCAGGGCAGGAATTGGTGTTCTGGTCTGAGATCTCTGAGCAAGAGGGACAGGGAAATGCTGCTGATGTGCTCTGTATTATGTGCTGATCCTTTGCAGAGCTCCCTTATCCTGCCCCTGCCTGGATTTGGCAGGGTTGGCCTTGGGATCTTGGCTCTTTGCATTATTACTGCAGCAGTTACTGTTCTTGTGGCTTTTGGTACACCTTGTAACTTTCTGCGTGCTGTTCTCAAAATGAAACCCATTTTCTGTGGCTGTTGCTGTCCTGTTAATGTCTGTAAAAGTCTTGTTAATTAGTTGTGTATGTCACTTGGAATGTGATGTAGCAGACTTGGATGGGATTTGTAGATGAGTGTGCTTGTCTTCTAAGATAAGGGCAGATTAGCAGCAAGTCTTAACTCAGGATTGCAGATTTCTTAATTCTGTAGTTTTTTTCTGTCTGACTGATTGTGCTGTTTACCCCAGAGCACTTAAGAGCAGTTGCTGGGTTCTGTAACTTGTGGATCATTTTAGTTTAAAAAATGGTAGTGAAAATATGAAATAATGCCTTCTTAGAGTTCACTGCCCTTCTAAGTTAAACTAGGAAAAATCTGGTCACATAAACAAAAATCTACACACAAGTTTCACTAAACTGCTTATGTTTCTGTGATACTCATTCTCTGCAAGAAAAATTGCTTTTAATTGTGCTGGTCCACTTTGGGAAGAGAAGGAATCTTATGGTAAACAACAATAATGCCTTTTGAAGACTTCTTAATCTGATTGATTGAGTTTGGGAGTGGAAGACATCTGGAACCTGCCAGTTCTTCTGGCTGGCATGAGATTTAACCTCTGTCTGCTTTTTCAGCAGGAACTTTCCAGCTTACTGTGTTCATACATTAATATATAAAGGTTTATATATTATAAATATATTTATATATTTAAGCTGTGCCAGTGCAGTGCCTTAGCAGCTGTACATGCTGTTGCCTTGGATATCTCTGTTTCAGGGTCAGGTTTCCTTAACAAGGTGTGATGGGGTATTTGCCACACCCTTACCTTGTAGCCTGAGTGAAGTATTTTGTTCTCCAGGGTTGCTAGTCCAGCATCAAATTTACTCTGAAAGTAACTGGGAGAAGAAAACTGCAAGGGATGATAATGGGGTTTTTTGTTTTTTTCCCCTCCTTCCTGGTAAAATAAACTTCTTGTCTTTCAGTTGTAAAAGCTGTCAGGAATATTTAGTAGACTTTCAAGGTCTCCCCTCTTTCATTTCTTAAGACCTAGGGAACTCTATCTCTGCTGCTGGATCCACTCTGCTGTCTGCTTCTCCTTCTCTTATTTCCTGCACTGTCCAAATTTTTTGAGGTGACTCTGTGGTTTTTGCAGTCTTCACTGCAGGGTTGTGAATTTGCTGCAGATGAGGTCTCAGTGACCACAGAGTCAGGCATTGATAGTGAACCTGCTCAAATTAGGTTGGACTTTTGAATTGTGGATTGTGTTAGTAAAGAATAAGCTGTGTATTTTGGAAGCTCTTTCATTAGAGTAGAAATAGTTGATATTAGTCTCACAAACCTTTTTTTTTGAGTTCTGGTAAATGAGTGGTAACAGAAGTCAACCTTTAAGAATACACTCAGCATTTGTTTAGGTTTCAGTACTGTGGATTGTGATCCCTGAAAACAAAACTAGGCAATTTTCCTAGTGCAAAACTAGATTTCTGCAAGGATATACTCTCCCCTCTTGAAGCATGACAAAGCAAAAGTCTGCCTTGATGTTCTTCCAGTGCAGGTCACCTTTAAAATAAAATATTCATGTGCAGTGTTCAGTATTTCAGTAGGGTGTTTTCCCATTAATACTGCCAAATATTATATAATCTTATTTCAGTTTGAGTCAAAAAGAAGCTTAAAGTCTTGATAGGTGAAGTGAGGTTGATGTCCTCAGTACTTTGAGGAACGTTTAAGGAAGCAGTGGTTGGCATTAAGAGGGGATTTGCTCTAAGAAAGGAAACAGCAACGGCAAGAGCTGGAAAGAACTGGAATTCCCTGCAAGGAATCAGTGGTGAAAGAAAGAAAACACAATTCATGCTCAGCATTTCACGTAAGGCAGGGCTGCCTGCTGCCGCGGGGTCTGGGGAGGAACTGCTGCTGCTAATTCCAGTGACATTTTGTTTTATGTCTTTTGCTCCTGACCCTTTAAACCTTCTTGTGGAAGAAGTAGTTGAGGAGCTTAGTTTGTGTCTTGTCACTCAGGTTTCTGGCGAGCCTCCAGCGCCTGAATGTCACCATCACCCGGGCCCGCTTCAGCCTCTTCATCCTGGGCCGGCTGCAGACGCTCATGGTAGGTCAGCGGGGATGGAGAGGGCTCCGTGAGCCGCCCCTGGGCCGGGGGACCGAGCACCACCCTCAGACTGCTCCAGTCTGTGCGAGAAAATGAACTTCGTGTCCTGCAGGGCCCTTGGGTTTGGGATTTTCTGAGGGAGGGAGGGGGTTGTTAGTCCGCCGCTAGGGGGCGCTGACGGCCCGCGCCTCTGAGGGGAGCCCCTGGAAATTGAGAAATTGAGGAATTTGTCATTTTTGGAAGTTATGATGGCTCAAAGTGCCTTCCCTGTGTTACAGCAGCCAGAGTGTCTGTTGCTGTTTCGCACCTGAAACATAAGATTCTTCCATTCCAGAAGGAACATAGCATTGGTTTCCATGACAGTTGTGTCAGGTACCTTGATTAAAGAGGTTATACATCCTCTGACACCTCTGTCCATTTGTGTTGATTTCTTGCTGGTAACAGTTTTTTTTTGTTTTTCTTTTTTTTTTTTTAAAGGAAGATAAAAACTGGAATCACTTGATCCAGGATGCTCAGAAAAGAGGTGCCATTATTAGGACAACAGAAAAAAATTACAAGAAAGAGGCTCTCAGGATTTTGAAGCTCAGGCCACCAGGACAGTCCCCAGCCAAAGGAGGGACGATGACATCTCCTGTGGTGCAGGCTGGTTCTTCCAGTGGCAAGAGGAGTGAGCCTGGAAATTCTGGGAACAGCCCACGGGAACTTACTGCTGGCCCTGGCCATGCAGTGCCCCAAGGGAGCCGAGGGCCCACACAGCCTGCAGGGGCTGCAGCTGCAGATTCCAACAGGGGCAGTGCCCCTGCATCCTTGGGGGCTGCGGCTGCAGACGGACCCTCAGGTGCTCCAGCTGCAGACTCCAGGAGGAGCAGTGCCCCTGCATCTGTGGGGACTCCAGCTGCAGACTCCAGGAGGAGTAGTGCCCCTGCACCCTCAGGTGCTCCAGCTGCAGATGCCAGGAGGAGCAGTGCCCCTAGCCGAGGGCCCACACAGCCTGCAGGGGCTGCAGCTGCAGATTCCAACAGGGGCAGTGCCCCTGCATCCTTGGGGGCTGCGGCTGCAGACGCCAGGAGGAGCAGTGCCCCTGCATCTGTGGGGACTCCAGCTGCAGACTCCAGGAGGAGTAGTGCCCCTGCACCCTCAGGTGCTCCAGCTGCAGATGCCAGGAGGAGCAGTGCCCCTGCACCCTTGGGGGCTGCAGCTGCAGATGCCAGGAGGAGCAGTGCCCCTGCACCCTCAGGTGCTCCAGCTGCAGACTCCAGGAGGAGCAGTGCCCCTGCACCCTCGGGGGCTCCAGCTGCAGACTCCAGGAGGAGCAGTGCCCCTGCACCCTCGGGGGCTCCAGCTGCAGATGCCAGGAGGAGCAGTGCCCCTGCACCCTCGGGGGCTGCAGCCCTTGGTGCCATTCCAGAGAAGCCGCGGGACCCGAGGCTGGCCAGCCTGGCCAGCCGAACTGAAGGCAAAGGCAAGGAGCAGCCCTCGAAGGACAGCCATCGGTCAGCCCAGAGCAATCCAGGATCAGCACCACAGCAAGGCCTGGCTGTGTCCTCAGCTGCCAGGGATCAGCTTTGCAGAGCAGAAAATGCCAAGAAGGCCCAGCAGACAGCAGGACAGTGCAGTGTGCTTCCCCCAGCCCCTCACTCAGCCCAGCACGAGGGCGACCGGAGAGCAGCTGTGCCCAAAAGCGGTTCCAAAGCCCCCAGTGAGGGAGGGCAGAGCAGTAGCAGTGAGTGGAACAAAGACTCTCGTGGTTTGTCAAGGAGACCATCCCAGGAATCAGCAGAGAACACAGAATCAAGCTCTGCCAAGAGAAGAAAGTTCTTTCACTGACTTTACTATCGGCTCATTACAGAAAATCTATTCCCAGATTTCTGTCTAGCAAGGACTGTATTTTAAATTATTTAGCACAGCTGGAACTCCCATATATTGATACCACTACTATCAGAAGATCTCTTTCCCATCCTGTCCCTAATTGTGAAGGGATTTAATACCTGACAGATGGTACCTTTGAGGTTTTGAAAAGAGAAGTTGGGTAGCTGCATTGCTTGGAAGAGCAGTGGGTTTAGTCATCTAGGAAGCTGAGGTTGTAAATGTTTAACAGTGTATATTTGTACAGTATACAGAATTATTTTAAGATATTTGGCAGATACATAGCTTCTTGTTTTCTTGTGTAAATGCTAATTTCTTAGAGATGTAATTTTTTATGAAGAACCAGAGTAAAGCAAAAACAAAACCCAGCCCCAAAATCCAAAAGACAGACTTATTTTCCCTTTGCACTAATGTCTAATTTATTTCATAGCAAAAGTGAATGTTGGAAATGTGGTAACAGAGGTTTTTTCTAGTGCTCCACTACTGCCTCAGGGTAGAGTGAGGCAGATGTACATTGGTTGAATGGAGAGAATTCTACTTATTTTGTATATTTTATTGCCTGTTTTTATAGGAACAGAAAAGTTTTTGTTTATACAAACGTGCCTTGAGTTTTGCTCTTGCTGCTGCTCTATCAGTTGGAATCCCTTTCTTGTTGCAGTGGCAACACAATCTGCAGATTAAAACCTGTGAGGTCTGTTTGGTCCCACTGTGTCCCTGTGAGGAGGAATCAACAGCACTGTGGAATCTTGGTCCAAGGTCTCGTTACCAGTTATTGGTAATATCACTTGAGTTTCTTTGTATGGAGCTTTTGGAGATCTACAGGGATGAAAAGGGCAGGTAGATCTTTGAGGGTGTTACTGCTGGAGTCTTTCCACTCTGCTGATGAAGAACATGCAGCCAGTAAAAGAGGACAGCAAAAAAAACCAAATTATTTTTAAGAAAACCTTCCTCACATCATAACATTTCACAATAAAACTGGAATTATTTCTACTAAGAATTCCTTTGGGTCACTGAAGTATCCCTTTCTGTTTTCTGGAGCCTGTGTGTGTCTCAGGAGGAGGAGAGCAGCATTTCACATGCACTGAGTTTTGTGTGGAGATAACCTGGGAGCGCAGCTCTCAGGGATGGAGGAGCTGCAGGGTTGGTACAGCTGGGTGCCAGGTTGTGCCATCTCCAGTGTGTTCAGGGACAGCCTGAAGCAGGGAGTGTCCTGCTGACCCTTGTCACAGCACTGTGGCTTTGCTGGAGAAAGTGAGCCCCAGTTTAGGCATCATCTTCAGTTCCATTTTTGTTTTATTGCAGGGATAACTCCAGCTTTGTCCTTGGAGCCCACTGCCAGGCAGGGCAGTGTGGCCCAGCTCAGGGAGACACCAGTGCCTTACTCTGCCAAGCACCAGGGCCTGGTTCAGGCTGTAATTGCCAGGAAAACTCATCCCTAATGCATCCACACCCAGAACAAACACGCTCTACTGCTAGGAGCTGCCTTGGAGGTGTGTGGGGAGGCTTTTATTGCTGGCTGGGGCTGTTCAGCTCCTTGTGCTGTGCAGGACTGAGTGTTTCAGTGTAATGGGGAGAATCTGGAGATCCCTGTGAGGTGAGGTCAGCATTGTGCACTATTCAGCTTTAGTTATTTGTTATGTTGCATTCTGAATCCTTCAGTGAGCCCTGACTCCTCCTGGCAGCCCTGTGTGCTCTTCTCCAGCTGTTGTGACTCTCGTGAGGCTGCTGAGTGACTCTGACCTTAACAAACTGGACATTTCAGTCACTCCCCATCACAGACTCCATACCCTGTGTGTTATTCCCCTTTATGTTAATAGGAATATTTAAAAACTGTCATCTTCCAAGCCCCTTGGCTCTTGTTGGCAGGGCTGTGCTGCCCTGCCTGCTGTTTGTACTTAGCACATTAAGAGGCTGCTGCTCTGCAAACCCCATGGCTGTGGAAGCCATTTGGGCTGCCTTGATGTAAATAAAGTGAAGCTGGCAACAAAATGAATGAGGAAATGCTTTTCTGGTTATTAAATTCAATTTGGTCACAAGAATGTTGCTGTGAAACTTTTCTTCTAGTTTTCTTCCTTCCCTAGCCTGCATTTCAGAACGTGTTCTGAGAGCAGTACTTGGCACGTGCTGGAAGGAATTTTGTTTTAACATTTCATTTTTGTTGTACTCTATAATACCTGTGCTTTTCCATAAATCATCTTTGAGGTGTGTTCAGTGGCTCAGACCTTTTTGCTGGTTTAATACCAGATTTATCTGACTTAAGTTGTCAGTCTTCAGCAGTAGATTATTGCTGCCATGTCAGTCTGTGTCATTAGTCCTGTATTTGTCAATAAAAAAATGCTTGGGTTATTGCACTCACAACACTTTTCCCTCTTCACAAACCACTCGGAGTAGGTTTGTAGCTTTACCTTCTCCTGTTTATACCTGAAAAACCAAGCAAAATCCAATCCAAAGCACACTTCTCACTGCCTCAAATCTGCAATGAGGAGCAAACAGATCAGGTACAATTTTCATAAATTCTCTGCTGTTCCCACTGTGTGGTACAAAGCAGTGAGTAGTGATGGGCAGTCAGTGTGTAAGCCATGAGTAGAGACTTGCTGTAGTAATTTATAACTCAGAGCTGGGGGCCCTTGGAGGAGGCTTTGCAGTGGTTACTGAGTGTTAAAATTGGAAAAGTCAGTAAAGAAACATACTCAACACAACTTTATGCAAAACATTTTATTGGAGGTTGTGCCAAAACCCTTTGGAAGAAGCAGTATCCAGGTTTTTATAGAGAGGCTTCCATGCTGCTTCCAAGCTTGGAGCTTAATTCTCAGTGCAAAGCCAGTCCCCTCGGTGTTCTTGGGAAGGAGGGAGAGTCTTGTAAGAGCTGTGCTATGTTTTGTTCAGCTGTTTATTTTCAGAGTGTGGAGGTTTTTTTAATTTATTCTTTGTACACAAAATAGGCTTTGCGGTAAAGGTGGGGTGTAACTGGTTGTTTATTTTTCCTTTAAGGTTTGCTGTGGATTTTTATCATGTCATTGCTCCCAATGATGATGTGAGAGCACGGCAGGTACTTGTCTAGTCTGTGTTCCTTAGCTCTGGGTCACTGTGCCCTGCTGCCTTCCCAGCTGCTCTGGGCTGTCTGTGGGGCACCAGGGGGAAACCAGCAATTCTATCTGTTTATTTATCAGTTTATTATCTGTTTATTTATCAGTTTATTATCAGGCAAGTGCAGAAGGGAGGTGTTGGCTCCTTGCTGGGTGGGACCAAGGGATGCTGAGAGCTGGAGGTGCCACTGGACTGTGCTTGGCTTTCACAGGGGCTGTGCCAGGCTGCTGTGGGGACATGAGGGACATCAGCCTCTCCTTCCTGCCAGTCTCCACTCCCTCCCAGTGCTGGTGGGACCATGAGTTCTTACAGTGCTGTCTCCTGGAGCAGCAGCTAATTAACAGCTGGGTCTAATGAGTGGTGCCACAGGGCTGCAGGCTGACGAGGCACTTCTGCTAATCCATGGAATGGGAATAGCCCCACCCCTGCTGCACTCCTGGGGAGAAGCACAGAGCAGCCTGAGCTTCCAGAGCAACACAGAACTTGTGACTGCAACAACATTCCCAGACAACACCTGAAAAATAACATGGAACCCCAGTAATTCCAGAGATGACTTTTGCTTTTTGGCAGTCTCTGAAGCATGTGAGAAGGCAGAGACCAGAGCAGCCAAAACTGGAGCTGGGCTCTTCATTCACAGCAGCCCCATGGATGAGGAGAACCATGGTCCTAAAACTGCAGGATGCTCTCTCCATTGTGCATGAATAAATGATGGATGAAATGACTGCTGGATTGTAAATGGAATTTATAATGTTAATGATATAATACAGTCTCTTGCCACAACGGGTCTCCTTTCTTGTCTTTTTAAGCTGCTTGGAAAGGAGCCCAGTGCCTTATTCTTTAGTGCAAATAAATGTAAGCTAAGCAGCCTTGTACATTGAAAATCACTGCCATGAGACCTCCTGGCCATATGTACCTGTCTGCTGCTCAGCCCGTGGCTAATTTGCCACCAACTCCCAGGAAAAGCGTGATAGAAATGAAGGTGGTCTGAGAGCACATTACATCTGGTATTGGGAAAACATAGAAAACCTGATTTTATAGCCTGGTGCAGCTCTGCAACGTTGCCACTGATTTCACTGTGGCATGAAGCAAGAACTCCCTTTGCTACAGAGAAGCCCCATCATTTCCCCCTCTATTTTAACCCCTGGAGTGACACAGAGTGGGGTCAGGATGGAGCTACAGAGCAATCCCATCAGTTTCCCCTCTGTTTTAACGCCTGGAGTGACACAGAGTGGGGTCAGGATGGAGCTACAGAGCAATCCCATCAGTTTCCCCTCTGTTTTAACGCCTGGAGTGACACAGAGTGGGGTCAGGATTGAGCTTTTGGAGCCTGGTTGTTGCTGGCAGTTTTGTGGTGAAATGGGTGGGTTTAAGCTTTCCTCACACGTTTCACCTTGCAGTGAAAGTTGTTACAGCACCTCCAAAAGCCAAAGGAACCTTCAGGAGGGTCTGAAGCTTTTCTCTGCATCTCAAATCAGGATGTGATTTTTAGCCATTTTCTGTGTGATTGTGGCCAAACTCTCCAGCTCCCAGCCAGAAGGGCTGAGAAGGTGTCGATATAAAGTTCTTCAAAACCCAGCTCTGCTCTTATTTCTGAGCAAGAACACTCAGCTCTTCCTTTATACTTTGTTTTATTTACCTTTGAGGCTTCTCATGAAAGCAAATTACAGAGCAGAACAGGGCAGTGAGACCATTTTATTCCCATTAAAAAGTGTTGGTTCTCTCACTCCTCCAGCCTCTGCAGGGCTCCTCACGAATCACTTGCAGATGAGGTGTCTGCTGCCTCATCTTTAAAAAAACAAATAACATACCTGAGAACTGCCAATGGAATTCTTTCCCCCTCCTGTCTCCAGCTCCCAGGAACTGTAACTTTAATATTTTACCTGGCAAGTGAACAAATGTGCATTGGGAAGGTTTTTGTTGCCTTGGGGCTTTTGGTTGTTTAGATTTGTCAGAACTCTGAATAGTTAAAATCAGAGTAGAATTTGAGGTAAACAAGAAAAATCAAACGCTCTACTTGTGCTGTTTGGAGAGGTCACTTTTTGCAGACAGAAGTGTAATTTAAAAACTTTTCCAAACTAATCAAATGCTGGTGACAGGATGCACATGGAACCTCTTGAAAGAGCATAAGTGGCTTTTCTCAGAAAGAGAAGTACCTTTTGGGTAACCTTTCCACAAGTAAAGTATCAAGCTCATTGGACAAATTCTCCCATTTGGAAGCAATAACTGATGTACAAAACTTCTGCCTTAAAGATGAACTTTGGGATCTGTGGGTACTTGCAGTGATGGTTTCTCTGTGTTGTTTCAATGATGCTCTGTTCTCTTTGTGCAGACACCCTGCTAACAGATGTCTGCAGTTAATGGGTCTTCAGTGCTGAAGCTCTCAGAAGCTTTAAATTGTTTTCTTGAATACTAAGTGTAAGTTTTATGTGAGAGATTTTCTCTTCTGGCTTGCAGTGGCTTGCATTGTGTGATTCCAAGTTCTACAGCACGTGTGAATATTCTGTGACTAAAACCCCAAACCCAAACAGCCAATACCCAACCAAGCAAGAGCAAAGCCCCAAACCTAGAAAGGTCGAGTGTATTTTTCAGCAGCCTTAATTCCTGGACAGGTCTGAGCTTTGCTGTGCCCTTCTGAGGTTATTTTCTACAGGAATTTGGTGCTGCTGCTTGGCACGTTGCTGCAATGAAAGTGTGTATTTGCAGGGAATCTGCTGGGTGCAGAGTTTGGCTGGCTTTATGAAGTAGTAAATTTTCTGTTGCTTAATCTAATATTCTAGAGAAAAACAGTTGTGCAGGCAAAGGAGAATGTTTCTTCACCCTCCAGAAGTGCCATTAGAGATCTTGATCTTGTTACAGTCTTTGCTATTACTTGTAAGAACTGTAACGTATTTAAGGTCTGCTGCAGTCAGA